CTAAAACAGTTTCCCAGGACCCTGATGGGGGACAGGAGAAGGAGCTTCAAGGCAGGCTGGTACCATATCCACCCCTGGCTTGAATATTCTCAACAGATGGACTCGGCGTATTGTTACGCTTGCAGATATTTTAGCCCTCCTAATACTGTTTTTTTTCTCATCACTGTAATGTTATGACTACAATGCTTTCAAAGTTTGATGAAATAAAAAGTCAAATATTTCGAATTTGTCTTTTTAGCCCTGGGTTGAATGTGCCCCTCCATCAAAACCCCCGGCCCCAGCCCGGCCCCCTCAGTGAAACTGATCGAGAACCGCCACTGTCTGGTTTCCTCCCACATTCCAAAAACATGCATGGCAGGTGAATGTAACACTCTAAATTGTCCCTAGGTGTGATTGTGAGCGCGAATGGTTGTTCGTCTCTGTGTGCCCTGCGATTGGCTGGCAACCGGTTCAGGGTGTCCCTCGCCTACTGCCCAAAGACGGCTGGGTTAGGCTCCAGATTTCGCAATAATTTTATTACCCAGTTTACACTCACTCGAACAATAATTGAACAAACTATTATAATTGACATGACTGATTTCAAAACTAGTAATCTATTAATTTGTTGTGTACAAGTACTACTTTTGCGGTTTCACTGTTATAACGGCCCTCCGAGGGAAGAAGTAACTCCAAATTGGCCCGCGACTAAAATGAGTTTGACACCCCTGATTTAGAGTGTTCCATTCACCTGACATGCATGTTTTTGGAATGTGGGAGGAATCCGGAATATCCGGAGAAAACCCATGCAGGCAAGAAAACATGAAAACTCCACACGGGGAGGTCAAGAATTGGAATAGAAGCCTGCACCTCTGCACTGTGAGGTGGACAAGCTAACTCATTGACTACCGTGCCGCCACTTAAAAACAATACATAGTCTTATTTTTGGGAAATAAAGGTGTCTTTCCCAGAATAAAAGGCATACAGTTATTAAAATAAATCAGACTCTGTTTAATTTACATGTTAAAATGACTTTTTGTAATGATGGGAAAATGAAGCTTCAAACTTGCTTCATGAACTGGCAAAGCCAATGGCAATTGCTGAAAACCACAAGACTGAAAACAATATCACTGTTAACTCTGAGCAAGTCAGAAATGGCAAGTCAGTGTAGTTTCAGCCCAATGTTGAACAGGCAGTTCCATCTAGAGGAATCAAAAAATAAAAGTTTTATTAAGCAAATTTTAAGCTTCATTTTCCCATCATCACCTTTTCCCTCGATAAAGTTTGCACTTTAACCTTGGAAAGACAGCCCTCTCATAAGATTACAACTTTTTATCTCAATGAAATGTTTTTTTTTTGTTCTTGGAAGATTTTTTTTTTTTAAATAATTAAATTTAGAGTGCACGCTGTCTTTGCAAAATAAAGCATCGAAAGGCTTAGCAAAACAAAAATAATTGACAAACAAACAGTGCATGAAGAACCTCAAAGATTCAAAACATATCTTCATGTGTTGCAAAATCCATTCAAATGTTTGCTGGTTTTCAGAGTCTAGCTGGAAGGACTCAGGGCCTCCCTCACTAGAGGCAGCATGTCCTTAACTCTCACCCCAAGTAGGAAGCCCTCATTAGGTCAGCGCAGGTACGATCACGCCTCACTTGCTCTGACAACTAATGGTTAGGACACATCAACTCAGTGTTGTTTTTTTCCTGTCAAGGCGCTCAGCAGGAACGAGTGGCAGCAGCGGACGATGCACCCACACTGACATGTCCAGCACCAGCAACTACCCGCTGAAGGTCAAGGCGACTGAGGGAAGCCTCACACCTCGAATCTATCCTACTACGCCAAGGTACAAAGACTCATCGTCTGCACAAAATGATGAGTCATGGTGGCAGGCCATGCATTTGCCTTTGGGTTGTCAGAGGGGACTTAATCCACCTCTTAATACCAACATTATCATCACAGTTGTATAAACCATCAATTCTGTGAAAAACAAAAAACAAAACTATAACTCTGCGCAACAAACTCGTGTACAATACATAATCTGGAGTATGTTACCATCCACCCATCCATCCATCCACCCATTTTCTACCGCTTATCCGTGGGTCGGGTCACGGGGGGCAACATCTTTAGCAGGAAAGACCAGACTTTCCTCTGCTCAACTACTTGTTCCAGCTCTTCTAGGGGGATCCTGAGGCATTCCCAGGCCAGCTGGAAGACATAGTCTCTCCAGCATGTCCTAGGTCATCCCCGAGGCCTCCTGCCAGTGGGACATGCCCGGAACACTTGGAACACCTCACCAGGGAGGCGTCCAGGAAGCATCCTAATCAGATGCACAAGCCACCTCATTTGGCTCCACTCAACGTGCAGGAGAAGCGGCTCAACTCTGAGCTTCTCACGTTATCTCTAAGGGAGAGCCCGGACACCCTGTGGAGAAAACGCGTTTCGGCCGCTTGTATCCTGGATCTTGTCCTTTCGGTCACGAACCATAGCTCGTGACCATAGGTGAGGGTTGGAATGTAGATCCACCGGTATGATGACTTCTTACCTTTTCTCACTTTATTTTGAAGTGACATTAAATGCAACCTAACCCCAGATAAGCGGTAGATAATGGATGGATGGATGGATGGAGGAATGGATGAAAACATTGTGTTTGTTATCAAAACAGTAGGCAACTTAGCTTTTTAGCACAAAGCGCTATGTTTATGTTCTGGATGTTTTTTTTTTGTTGTTGTTTTTTTTTTTAGTTTTTTAAAACCTTTTTTTAGGCAAGCACAAGACAACATTACATTTGGCAACAATCACTCTGTGTCAAGCTATTCTCTACACAGACAAAAAGTAAACAAACACCAACAATATTCCCAAAACATAATGTGACAGTGCCTCGTGCCACCTCTGTGTTTTTCCCTCAGGCGTCAAGCAAAGCATACAATATGTAGTGACAACCATGGGATCAGGCCTCCTGCCCCGGAGCAGTACCTCACACCCCTGCAGCAGAAAGAGGTGAGCATACGACACCTGCGAGCCAGACTGAGGGACAACATGGAGAGATTACAACACAGGTCAGTCTGATCAAACACGTCATTGAATTGTTTAAAAACCTCGTTTGACTTTAAAATTTCCCAAATCCTTGGAATTTCACCCTCTCGACAGTAAATCTTCTCTATTTTATATACTCGACAGACTGATTATTTGCATTGAATCAAGACATTTGTTTGGGTTCCAGTTGACGTCATTTCACTTTAACCGTGCTCAGGGTTAAAGCAGTGATATTGTTTTCGGTCTTCAGGTTTTCAGCAATTATCTTCAAACATGTATTGTGTATTCAGAGACACATCTCTTTACAGGGTCTTTAAGCACACAAATAAAAACAAGGTAAACATAACTTTGTTCTGAGGCTAAAACAGACTTTACCTTGGTTCACAAATGTTTTGGTTGGCAAACAGATTCCCTGGAACAAATTCAATTCAGAAACGAAGCTTTCGGCTCTATTTTTCTGAGAATTAAGAACAAATAATACTGGGCAGTTGTGATCTGGCAGCACGGCCCCAAGCGAGTTTTTGTCATTGATTTCAGTTCAGGTCAGTGCTAGTCATCTACATTCTGCCACGGAAAAGCACCTGCTGTTTCCCAACAAAATAAATTGTCTCTCGAAAACAGGCAGTATTTTCCATTTTCTTGGGTTTCACGACAGAGACTACGAAATAGATGAGCTGAGGACTCAGCTGTACAGGATGCAGGAAGACTGGATCGAAGAAGAATGCCACCGCGTGGAGGCCCAGTTGGCCCTCAAAGAGGCCCGCAAGGAAATTCAGCACCTCCAAGAAGTGGTGGAGTCTGTGAGGTCCAACCTGGGTGTTTGGAAGCAAGACCACGACCACAAGCCATACACGAGGTCCCAGGAACCGAGGCTCGGCGGGAGGTCTCGATCCTGCGGCTGCTCTCCCGCCAGCACGTTGACCCGCAGCAGGCACCTGAGTGGTGAGGCCCCGCAGGGCGAGTCAAGCCGAGCGCCGCGCCACCTGCTGCTGGAAACGACGGCACAGCAGGACTGCGCCGAGGGGACGCCGCCCCTCTTCCCTAGCTGTGACCGGCTGTGCCGAGCGGGCGCCGCAGTGTCCATCTCACACTCCTGCCATTCTCTGGCAGGAAGCTGCTACCTCCCTCATCATCACTTGTTCCTGCACTTACCTCAGGAGGAGCCCCAGGAAACCATCGCCTCTGCCATGACTGCGCCCGCCGACCCGGTCCCAAGCGTTCCGGCGGGGAGAAAGCTGGAGGTGCGCTCACAGGCCTGCAGCCCGACCATGACCTGGGTTTCCCGCGAGGAAAGGGGCGCAGAGGAGCTGAGCATCATTTCCGCGGCATCAAGGGACGTGAGCCCCGCGGAGCCCGTCGTATTTTCAACGGCTTTACCTCCTCTGTCTCCTCTAGAGATGCCCTGTGTGTGCCAACCCCACCCCGTGACCCCCCTTAGGCAGGAAGCCACCGTGCTGGAGATGGAGGAGGGTGGCAAGGAGGAAGCAGGAAATGACGATTCGCTTCAGAGTTGCCACTGGAGCCCGTACTTCCTGGTGGATCTGTTGGCTTTGGCTGTACCGGTGGTTCCGACCTTGGCTTGGCTGTGTCGCGGGGCGCCTCGGGACATCGCACCCGTCTATCACATCGGCTCCCTGCTGAGAGGGTGTTGCGCCGTGGCCCTGCACTCGCTCCGTCGGAGACGCGGCGGGCCAGGACGCGGATCGCCCAGCGTGAGTGGAACACCCATCTGACTTGGCTTCTCAAACCGCCACCCTTCCTCAAACTTAATACCCTTTATGGACAGGCTGCTCTTGTTACATTCAGCTTAAATAATATTTCAAAAAAACTGACGTGAATTTTTGGGAGTTACTTATTTATACACTTTGAAGAATAGTTCTCATCTTCAAGATACTGTATACAATGGACCTCCATTATTTGTTGGGGACAGACCCAACCACATCTCAAAACACTTGTATCTCAAATAGCCTATTCCCTTTGAAATGAATGAACGTGCCAATAATCCGTTGCGGCCTCCTCCTCCAAAACTGAAATTTTGGAATGTTTTTTTTTCTTGAAGAGAAAAATAGCACTCTATAATATTGTACTTTCTAAAAACAAAGTAGTGTAGGAGTTTTTGTCATACATTTTGCCTTTTGGTGTGCATATCATGGCCACCTTGGGGCAATATTATACAGACATACAAGGAGATGTCCCAACTCCATTCATTTTCAACACTGCTTATCCTGAAGGGGGTGGGGGTGGGGGGGTTGCTGAAGCCTATCCCAGGTAACTTTGAGCAGAAGGCAGACCACACCCTGAACTGGTCAGCAGTCAGTCGCAGGGCACATGTAGAGACAAGCAACCATTGACACCCACATCCACACCGTCCCCGCGTGGGAACCAATCCCACGCTGCCCGCACTCAAGTCAGGCAAATGTCCCACTACACCATCAGTGACTACGTCACAACTCCTCAGTAGTAATATGAGTTATTCTTTGCAAAGGATAAAGAATATACGACTGCTTATCCTGAAGGGGGTGGGGGTGGGGGGGTTGCTGAAGCCTATCCCAGGTAACTTTGAGCAGAAGGCAGACCACACCCTGAACTGGTCAGCAGTCAGTCGCAGGGCACATGTAGAGACAAGCAACCATTGACACCCACATCCACACCGTCCCCGCGTGGGAACCAATCCCACGCTGCCCGCACTCAAGTCAGGCAAATGTCCCACTACACCATCAGTGACTACGTCACAACTCCTCAGTAGTAATATGAGTCATTCTTTGCAAAGGATAAAGAATATACGCCTGTGAGAATTGACATGTTCTTTTTCTACTTGGGTTGCTTCATATGCTTGTTGCTTTAGCACCACCACAGAGAGACCATTAGTTTGCATTAAGCTGGCTATCTGGTCACACACAACATGGAATCATTCTATTTTATTTTGCGTTTAAGCTGGTAGTGGCACTGAACACAGTGAAGCGTTTTTTTTTTTTGTTTGTTTTGTTTTGTTTTTTTGAAGAATTGTTCACCGTTTGCCAAAATGCTGCTTGTTGTGAAGTGAGTTGACGGCCAACATACAGCGCTCGTATGGTTTTTGTGCTCGTGAATCAAAAGCAAAAAAAACATTTGCCTGTCTCTCGAAAACCTCATTAGTCAGGTTACTCGCCTCGCAGGGCACAACTGAAGTTAATTGTAAACCTAAATGCACAATCACTTTTGCACAGCTGAAATGATTGCCAGATTTAAAAAAAAAAAATGTCCACAAATGCCTGAGGAGAATACGAGGGTTTTAAATGGACAACAATTCTTCTGCAGGCACAGCTATGACTTTCACTTTTTCCTCACATTTTTTGGGGAGTTTCCCCCTGCAAACAGATTGCAGTGAGTGCATGAAGCCTCCACCTTTATGGCTCGAGGGAAAAAAAAAACATAACGATTGCTTGCACATGCCATACTCACTAAAGTAGCAAGTAAAAACTCCACAATCAAGCACATTTCAAAACTTCACTTCGCATGGCAAGAAAAGCATACAAATATATAAACTACGTTTTCAACTAACGTTGAAGAAAAAAAACTTCACTTCATAGGTAGCATGTTGAATAATATTTTAACATTTTAACAAGTTTTTCAAATGTTTCAGCGGTGTGGCCAGTGTGACACAACATCTCCATAAGCGGTGAACATATAGTGTGCGTGCCTCATTCTTTATCATCCCATCCACAGACAAGGATTCAGGAACTAAAATGCCCTCAGATCCAGAACAATGGCCATCACACTCTTAATCAAGCAGCAACAAGTCAAAGTCAAAAGCAACATTTTGCTGAGCTTGATTGCCTCGGCGTCAGCAACTTGCGGCTCCAGAGCCGCTTGTGGCTCGTTCATCCACCTGCTGTGGTTCTCTGTGACTTGGAAAAATAAATATTCGGACTCAGATAGACAGTGAATATTTTATTTGAAGAGTCAACGAACATCTTTTTTCAGAGTTCAAAATGTTTTTGTTAGATGCAGAAATGTTGCTTTACCTGTAGCCATTCATTTCATAAATGTAACCCAATGAGTTTTTTTTTAAACATACAGGTTAAAAAAAACAAAAAAACGATATATCCAGTGCATCTCCTCAGAACTTTTATCTCATGGACTGATTTGCAAAGGCTACCTAACAGCCAGTTCATGATTAATTGTCACAGAATGGCCGACACCATTTTGCATTTGATCATGGCCCATCTTAAAAGCACAATAACTAAAGTCTCTTAATCCTTCACAATTGTAAATGTTTCCTTTTACTTGTTTGTTTGTTCCTGCTTGTATTATGAGTGTGTGTGCAAAATTCGGATCTGTGAACATTTTTTTTTTCCATGAAGCCATGACTGTGGATGCTACGATTAACAATGACTTCTCAGCCAAGTTGTTTGCTAACAATGCTGTGAAAGTAATGATTTTGATTGACAGTGACTGTAAAAATTAAGTGTTCTTTATTCAAGACAGCTTCTTTTAGAATTTACCTTCAGATCAATTGCATATTTTTTCTTAAAATATGCAAATTTCCCCAGTGTGGGACAAATAAAGGTTATCTTACCTTATCTTATAATACAACTAACTTGTGGCAAAGTATCCAGAGAGGTCTGCTGCATCCATGGCAGAAAAATCAGATATCAAAATTGTCTCCAAGGTGTTGGGATGTCCAGAGGTTTGTCAGTGGCCACCACATAGCTCCATATCAGGGTCCAAGCAAACCGCTGTTCAAGCAGATTATTGGTGTCCTGCAGGACACTATATTTGCAACTTTTAGAAGTTTGTTTTCAAACATTTAGGTACAATTTTTATTTCACTTTTCTGTTCTACTACATTCATGTAGGTGGTTTTTTTTTCCAGTACTGTATTTACTGAGCTGATGTTTTTCGTGTTATGTCACAATGTCCATGTTTGAAGTTGAGAATTATTTTCCAGAATATTTTGATAGAATGCCAAAGCGTGTGACTTGTGGGGCTCCTCTGTCCTCTTTCTTCTGTATACCATTTCATTTGTGCATGAAACCCTGCGATTTGCTCCTCATTGTCGGTTTTGTGGAGACATTTTCTACTCAGACATAATTTCCAATGAACTAAATTGTAGGAGAAGGCAAATGATCATTTGTCATGTACAGTATTTTCTTTCCAGTAGCATTTCCTGGGAGAGACTGACTTGCAAAAATGTAAAAAGCTTTACAGGTGCCACTTAACAGTTTGTGACAGTGTAAAAGCACCTAACTTTTTCCTCTTTTGCCCAGAAATACTTGAGCGTGTGTGTGTGTGTGTGTGTGTGTGTGGACTGAACGTTATTCAAAGACCATGTGATCCATGACTTGATGAATGCAAATGGTTTTGAAAGCATTTTTAAGATAACATTTTGGGTCTATTTTTCAACTGTGTTTATTATGTATGGAATAAAGCAGTGAGTTTGTTAATACAGTATAGTCAGCTACAACAGAGGATAAAGTTTGACATTCAATGTCACATCTGAGGAATGTTTCCCCATAGCTTATTTTTGTGTTCATTTAGAAAATCCTCAGCGCTTAATAAAAGTGAGGTACAGTAACTAATTTCAGCCTTACACAATAGAAAAGTACATAGATTTTGGTTTTCAGGGGTAGTTTTCTTGCTCAATTCAACAGTGGTTGAATCTGCACGTTGCACAAAAACAATCTTTTTTGGTTCAAATATAAATGTACTGTATATACTAACCTGCAAATGTACGATTGCTCCTGAAATGTGATCTGTCCTAAAGCATTGAGACGCTTGCATTGACTGTACTCTTTTATTGTGAAGAGTAAGGAACAGAATGTAACATCCACAGCGTGTAACACAAAACTCCTTGAAATAAACGCAATCACAAACTGCAAGGTGCCTCTTGGGGGGGAAAGTTTCATGCAACAAACCTTTTGCCACAAACTTTTTTTGGGACAGTAAATTTTTCCCACATTTTTTTTTTGTTTCCAGCAGTAAAATCGAGGCAAAAAAAGCATCCACCCGTGAGTGTCTGAGCGCTAATATCACCGGGCGCTCATAAATAAGTGTCGCTGACAACAATTGTAGATAGCTGGAGGCGGCTCCGTCCGTGTGCTTGATTCAACAATTCCAAGTGATGAGATGTCTGTGTGATGTTGCCCGATAACTAAGCGCCATGGCCATTCGAACAAACAGCTCCACGTCAAAACAATTCCTTTTGAAGAAAACGCATTAAGACTATGATAGAAAGGCCGTAGAGCCAGAAGAAATGAGACAGATTCAGTACTTGTACAAAAAAATGTCAATGGTGAAAATTAAAAAAAGAAAAAAAATTCATGAAAATACATCACAGCATGTCTAAATAGATAGGATTTGATGAGCTAGGACTGAGTAGAAAGTCCAAACTAAAATGAAGTGGTACACATATGAAAAGGAGAGTGGACAAGTGAAGGTACAGACATTGTAGGTCCTATGCAGGAGTCGTCTGGATTTTCCTCCATGTTCCCAAGATAGGATTTGACCTGCATTCAACACAAAAACAGCGCATTACAGTGTGTTCAAAACAAAGCACAAATGGTAAAAAATTAATACTTTGGAAATAATCGGCTTCGTCTACGCCAGGGGTAGGGAATTCTGGTTCCTCGAGAGCCATATCCTGCCAGTTTTAGGTCCCTCCCTACTCCAACATGCCTGATTCAAATGATCAGCTCATCAGCAAGCTCTGTCGAGGCCTGAACAATTGAATCAGGCGTGTTGGAGTAAGGAGGGACCCAAAACAGGCAGGATATGGCTCTCGAGGAACTGGAGTTCCCTACCCCTGGTCTACGCCAAGATTTGTGCGTCAAAATTACATAATTTAAAAAACATATTTGCAATACTGTCCATATTTACCATACAGACTTTTGTTGCAGATGCTTGCGCGCGCACACACTCGGGGAGAAATACAAAGAACAATAAAAACATCTTTTTATTGTTCTTTGTATTTAACATAAACCTCAATGCACGGTTTGGCGTTGCTTTACAGTGCATCCGGAAAGTGTTCACAGCGCTCCACTGGAGCCAGCAAGCAAGCACGATACCCAGATATTTCATTGAATGATTGATAAGAGGTAATTCTCAAAAGATTTGTTCCTGACAACTCTAATGAAAAGCTTGAGGTGCATATATTAACTAGTACACTCTGTGTCCTCAAGAGTCAAGACAATTCGGCACACTAACAAAACGACTCAAGTGCACTAATAATCAGAGGCGGGCATTCTGTCAGAAGGACGGAAGGTCCGTTAGTCTGTCACTGCTTCCGTCAGTATTTCAGGCTGACCCACGTGGGCCCAGTCTGTCCCCCCTCGGCGTGGAGAACAACATTTTTCCACATCACAGATGGCGCCGCACAAGCTGACACACGGCCAAATAAAGAAAAACAACAGATACGCACGGCGTGGTGATTGGTAAAATAAAAACAATATGGGACACCTCCTTGAGGTCTGTGGTGCTAAATCAGAGGTGGGCAAACTACGGTCCACCTGTCAAATTTTAAAAATCAATGTGGCCCCCAAGCCAAAAAGTTTGCCCACCCCTGAACTAAATGGTATACAAGATTGTTTTTTTTTCTGTATTTGGCTGCATGGCAGGTGTGCGGCACGGCACCTCCGTGTGACCGCAAGTCCTTATTTGACACCGATTGGCTGTTGCCGATGACACGGACGGACTGCGCTGGCCTGAAGTACTGGCGGCAGCTCACTGACGGACTCGCGGGAATGAGGGTGCCCACCTCTGCTAGTAGTAGCGAGAATCCGTGTAAAATGCTGAGTGTGACTGGATTGAATACTTTTACTTGTGGACCAAGATAGTTCTCGAAAATGACCGCTGAAAATCCTTCTGTAGTGATTAGGGAGTCAGGAATGAGTGAATGATTGCAAACGCAGCAAAAGCAAAATTGCAGCAAATATGTTTTAAATCCAGACAGGCCGGATTGGAACAACGGACATGCGGGTTCTGGCCCACAGGCCGTACGTTTGACACCCCCTAACTTCACATGCATCCACAGTCCTTTGCGATTAATAGTATTCCAAATGAATAAACACAAATAATTGGAAGAATTGTTTTATCGGCTATTAGTAGAGTGCTTTGCCTGATGTTTTGGGCTTCTGGCAAGGCTTCATTTTCGATAAGATAAATGGATATAAGGATGACGCCTCATGGCATTTTTCTGCTTTCGTTTGCTACATGGACAATTTAAATTCAGCTTTTTAATTTATTTGAAAGAGACATTCATTGTTATTATTTTTCAAGAATTCAAAATGTTCAAAATGTGTTCATTAAATGAATAAAATGTAATTTTCTCTGTAGCACGTGGATTTCATAAGAAACATGCTGTGGTAAAGTAGTAGAAGTTTTTTTTTTTTTCATTTTAGATGTGCGGCTCCCAGTGTTTTCTTTTCCGTGGAAACCGGGTTCAAATGGCTCTTTCGGTGTCAAAGGTTGCCGACCGCTGGTCTAGACATCCTGTACTTTTATGAGGCAATTGGATGCAAGTCCGAATTTCGGCGGTATGACGAGTTGGGAATCAAGTGGTGCCGAAGTACGTCTCACCCTGGCAATTTGAGTGGAACGAAGCAAAGCGGCAAGGGCGCTTGAGCCCTACTCCAGCCGCAGCAGCTCCACGTCAAAGGTGAGCGTGGCGTTGGGGGGGATGATGCCCGGGTGGCCCTTGCTGCCATATGCGTAGTCCGGCGAGCAGATCAGCTTGGCCCGCTGACCTACGCTCATCTGCGGAGGCCAGGAGGAGGTTATGTGCGGGTTCACCATTGCGGTTGGAGAAAGGCTGAGCTCCGCTCCTCACCTGAGCGACTCCTTCTTCCCAGCCGCGGATGACCTCCTGGTGTCCGATCTTGAACTTGAACGGCTTCCCTCGGCCCCTCGAGTCGTCAAACACTTTCCCGTCTTCCAGTGTACCTGACCGCAGGGAGGGTGTGTCACACTCATCTTGCATGTGAGGCTGCATCAACACCAGTTTGCCACGATTTTCACTTGACTTTAACGTGCCAACAAAGGGCCAGTACACGCATCAAGACAAGACCAGCTATTTTTTTTTCTTTCCTGACCAAGGACATCTCACACCTGGCTATCTTATGTCCTATTGCCAGATAAAATGATCCTGTGGTTGGAGGTGTGCGAAGAGTGGTTTTGTCCAGATAATAGGGCCCGACATGGGTTTGGTGGCACCCAACATTTTTTACCAAAAATCTTTTGTGTATGTTGGGAAAGACCATTGTAACAGATAACACTGGTCTCCATATTTTTACTATTTGCACTGATTCCAAATCTGGCCATGACATACCCATGCTGCTTTACTTCAATTTGTTTGTTTGCCAGCTTTTCTTTTTTGACTTACAAGCATCAAAATACAAATTGTAGTGAAACGTACGCCTGATGTGTTTGGTTTGTTTTACTGAATATTTAAGTGTTGTTGTACTTTGCAGGTATAAGTGAACGTTTTTAAGGTTTTGATGCGTGCTTTTGTATTTGATTTTATTAATAGACTAATGTGTGCTTATGTGTTGTTGACCTTTAGTAAGACCAAAATAGTTTCATCTGCAGTACAGAAAAATGAAACAAACAAACACAAAATATCACAAATCAAAGAAAAAATAATTGTGCGTTTTGATATATATTGACGGTTTGCCTCGGCAAATCGAAACGTTTGAGAAATCCTTACAACCGGACACTTTTGATTTTTTATTTCAAAAGATCTTTTTTTTTTTTTAATTTTCAACACATCAGACCCGTGATTATTGTCATGACATTCCACCCTTCACACTAGCTTGTTCTCGCCGATTATACATTGACGTCGTTTCACGGTTCGAACAGACTCCCTGGGCATAAGCATCAAGAGATACGAAAACAAGTTTGACTGAACAGAGGAAGGATTGCAGCAAGTTAGCAGATTAGCTAAAGTTAGCCGCCTAGCTTGACGGGGTCCGGGTGGCACAGAAAAAAAAACACTCGGCTGCCGCTAACTCACCCAAACCGTAAAAAAAAAACAACAACTAGCAGCCTAGATTAAAGGTGCTGTCGTTAAATACACAAATTAAAGACTAATTATTTCCTTTAGCAACATCTTGGGACAAAGCTAAAAAGCCAAATTGACTTAGCGCTTCACCACTAGCCAAAGGAAAATAGGAACATTTTCCACCCCAAAACCAAGTGGAAACAAACCAGCCCAGTTCGCGACAAAAGGACATTTAGCCGCAACGTCGAAAGCAAACAATGGTGGAATTATTATGATTATTTTAAAGGCGAAACAATGAAGTTTGACGCTGTTGTAGCCCGGCTCCTCACTCACCGATATAGTGCACCACGACGCGCTGCCCCTTCTTGGGAAACGTTTGCCCTGCAGACACACACGGGACAGCACCGTTGGAATGTGGACGACGACAACAATAACAAACCAATTCGGAGAAAACAAGACGGCGAGCATAACCCACCATCGCCATGCTTGATGGTTTCAATCTGTACTCCCATGTTCGCGAGTGCTCAGCCGTTCTGTGTCCACCACCGTGCTGAGAGCGGAAGCAGGGGGATGCAGACGCGCGGGCGCGCGCGCGCGCGCACACTCACACGCATTTTATTTTATGCGGGACCCACGCGCAAATTGGGGAATATGTTTTCCATTTTACCAAATGACCACAATTCCGCATTTTCCATGGAAAAAAAGCAATCAAATGAATTGGAACATTTTCTAAATTGATCACACACTTCCAGATTTCACAACTTATTAACTGAGTCAAAACATTTCCATTTTCTGAAGGTTCAGCGCAACATTGGGAACTATTTTTATAAACGCCACAAAGTTCCGATTTCCATTTTTCCACACTTTCCATGACAACATTACCAAACCAGTGCGGGCATTTTACATATTTACCTCCTTTTATATTTCTAAATGAATGTGAGGCATTCCAACTTCCAACTTATCATCTCATGACATCTGGGCAACAAATTTCCCTTCCCCACATTCCCAAATTATGATGTATTTTACAAATGTACCTTGTCTTTCCACATTTCTTGACCAATTCAATCAATTCCAACTTTAATCTGTTCAGATCATTCAGGACATATACAGTGGAATTTAGTTGGAACACTCCCAAAATTTCACAATAAAATTTCCAGATTCAGAGATATTCTCCATATATTGACTCTTTCTATAGTTCTTGACTGGTTTCGGTCTACTTTCTACATTTCAACCATTCAACTAGATTCACGTGCTAATTTGCGTCTTAAGATATTTGTTGAAACAGACTCTTGTTTTCTTTACACAGTGGTGCCCTGAGATAAGAGTTTGCTTTGTTCCACAACCGTTCTCGTAACTCAAAACACACATATCTCAAGTCATTTATCCCCATTGAAATAAACAGAGATGCCATTAATCTGTTCCAGCGAGCAACAATTTTTATTCTGTTTTGTATTTTAATGAGAAAAATGGCACTCGAACAATATTGTACTTTTTAATAACACATGGTCGTGATAATGAATCTTTTTACAAATTATAAAATATATATATATATATATATAAATGTATTTATTTATTTATTTATTTATTTAAACTTGAATTTAATGATCATGCTGCTCCCCGGTGTGCACATCTTGACCATGAGGGCAGGATAATACAGACATCGGGATACACACAGAACCAAAGGGGACTTCACAACTCCTCAGCACCTGTATGTCATTCTTTGCAGAGGATAAAGAATATGCCCATGAGTTTTTTTTACATTATCTCTCTTCAGGTGTTGCTCCACCTTTTTTATTCAAATATGTGTTGCTTTATGGGTTATAGCATCCCCAGATACAATAGATGTTGTTTGTTAGAGGTCTTTGGCATTTTTTTGATGAGATGATAGCATTGACATTAAGGTAGTGGACTTCAAAGCGATGTGATGGTTTGATTTGCACAAAGTGTCGATGTATGTGTATTATGTTTACTTTTAAATTTGTTTTTAAAAACTTGTAATCCATGAGGATTTCAAAATTTATAATCCGCCACTTTGTTGTGTTCATGCAATGATACGAAAAGAAGAGTAAACATTTGACTTCACCGTCCATATGGCCCGCTGAGGGAAGCCGTAACTGCAACGTGGCATGTAACAAAAATAGATTTAACTCGGAATGTGTTTCGTTGTAAAGGAAATTTCAAGCCAAATGTTTTCTTTACATGAATACACGTGCCCCCAACAGTCTAAGCACAGTATTCTGATTAATATTGTATTTGGGGAATATGAAAGAAGATGAATGTCCGTCTGTGCGACAGCTGCTGCTGTTGTGAAAGCGCGATATAAATCAGGATGTATTGTATTGTATTTGCTGGGTTAGGTCATGTGACATTCACAACCTAAATCCAAAAAGTCTTTGATGTCAATTCCAGTCGACAGCAGGGTGTCATGCTGCATAAAATGTCAGCTTCCTTGGATGGCCGAATGTTAGTGGATTATTCTGCTCCCTAGAACATGTTATTGAAAAGACCATTTTTGACATCGCCTTTAAAAGCTGCCACCTCATGAGAGAAGGTGTAGGAAAAGAAAACCTATCGCTCCAGATCTTTACAGGTGGGATGCGTTGCGGGAAAGTCATCTGCCACATCTGTCACCGTCGACCTCATAACAGAGACAGGAAACAGGCTGAGGCTTCACACTTCAGAGGAGAGAGAACACAGTTTGATGTCTCCTCAGGAGGAGAGGCTGCGCGATGAGTCACATTCTCAGAATTGGGTGATGACTCACATGAGCTGTGATGTGATTTCTTGCTTCCATTTGAATTGTTTTTGAAAGAGTCCTCTTCATCACGACGTTCACATTCTGACATCATGAGACCAAGATGGGGCCAGATGATTGATCAACAGGACAAGGCTTCAAAAAGGAAGTGGCCACTGAATTCAGAATGTCACCAGGTGCCATCAGCCAATCACCACAGAGAGACTGGAAAGTCACAAAATGGCACACAAGTGGCGTTCTTGGACATTTTCATGAATCAAACAGCTGTGGTGAATGTTGCTGAACACAGAATAGAAACTGAAGGTTGCCTGTGTGTATTTTTCTAATTCAGTTAGTTTGAATTAATCTTCAAGAGCAGGATTGTTGTTTTTATTTGTTTAAAAATGCTTTATTTTCATTTTTGTTGTAATATTAGTTTTAGTTCTTTTGACTTTGTAATACGGAGTATTTGTCGGTCACCAAGCGTCGTGTAATAGAGTACACGACGATTCTCAAATGAGGCTTGACCCTCCTTCTTCTGTACAGATTGTACAGCAATAGGGATTTAAAATAAACCCCAAAATCTCATGTAAGATATTAACAAAGATGGGAAAAAAAAAGACATTTCAGATACGTATAATTACAGTTTTCAAAGGAAAGACAATTTCGGTTAATTTGAGTTTGTTTAAAAGCATTTTCATTTTTTTTAATTAATAATAATATATAATAATAACATTAAGTTTAATTTGTTTCATGACCATACTTGTAACTCACCCCTTGATTCTCAAATGCTCTTTTCGTATTGAAATGAGAAACACACCCACACCCACAATTTACAAAAGGTGACCTTCAAGTTCTTTCTCAGAGCTAAAGCTTCAATTTTGTAAATCCTGGTTTCATCCTGTTAATTCCACTGGAAAATTTCCAATTTGGGGGGGACATTTCCAAAAGTGTGGAAGCTTTCACATAACATCCTCGCATGACTAAATGATCAGGAGTTTTTCCGAGTTTCTTATAAATAATAAACAAGATTGTATTTTCTGAGTTCAACTGTTTATTTGACAAGTTTCCATTCTAAAACTCAACTCTGATGCACCAAACTGCCATTGCAACTGTTTGGGAGCTCAGATTCTGCACATGTACCATTTGACAAGATTGAATAACTTGATCAAGCCCAGGCTTGATCAGATTAAAAAAATAAAATAAAATAATTGCACCACTTCGAACACCTTTGTCCAAATAAGGTATCAGTAAATTACAACCGTATAAATAAACTCTCACAGCTAATATCTCATCATTCGCAAAATAATCACCAGGAAATAATCAGTTGCGCTTAAGGACATCAACAAAAACAAATGACAACGTGAAAGCATCATTCACAAGCTAGGCATTCAAAAAAAAAAAAAAAAAAAACATTGACAACTCTTATTTGAATCATTTGACTGTCCGGTTTTCAATGCCAGTAGGACGATGCTCACTAGTCAAGCAAAAACAAAACATTACAAACTAAGCCATGAGCATGCCTTCCTGCCCCCAAAATGGCTGCCTTCCTGTTCAATTTTGGGACCTTCGACATGGCCACCGAATTAAATATCTCCCTATGGCGTCACAGTTAGTGTGAGATAATTACAAGGCCCCGGCCATAATGAGAGGCAGGGGGAATAATTGTAGTGAACAAAATAAGTTGTGGTCAAAGTACTGAGCTGTGGCTATGCACTGGACAATCGGGTCAGCAAATGGGAGTGTAAGTAAGAAACATCGAGAGGTCGCTATTCTGATTTATTTTTGTTTTAGGTTGGGAATGAGTTACACAGATATTCTGAAAAGTCTAACATTGTCAGTAATCATTACCAAGAGTTATTTGAACAGATGTGAAAGCCAGCTTGCTTTTGTGGCAAAGACTACAACCTTAAAAGTCGGGCCCGTATTGTCGTTTCAAGTGGAGGTATATACTGTACACATATTCTTACCTGGATGTCCAAGTTTTTCATGAGAATGACAAATGACTATTTGTGCTTACATTATTCATATTCCAGGGCCACAATTGCTCCCCCCCCCCGCCCAATTAATGCCTTAGGCTCCATAGATTTTTTTTTTAATGTACATTTCTACACTTGCACAGTGCAACACTGCCAGCCTGCAATTTTGGGATGCTGCGTCAAGGTTCAAAGTTTCATACATGGCAAGCAGGATGGCAAGGTTCTGGAGCTTTTCCGAGTTGGTATATTTTTGGGGGAATTAATATGAATTACTGGGAATAAACCAATAATTTGTCAAACTGAAGGTTGACGCTTGCAGAGAACTTTAACAGCCATGCACCATTATGCCACCCAAAGAGTGACAGTCTGCATATTTTTTTTCTTTTAAGATAATAACTTGGGAAAATAGCAAGGTCGGCTTTGAATAAGCCTGTCTTGCAAAACATGGGTGGCTAGTTTATTTCCGTGCAGAAGGAATTAACCAGCCATGAAGGTAAGTTGCGTGCAGGTTTATTTCCATTCATTAAGGACATCACTGAATTAGCGTCTTCAATTAAACTGAGATGCATGATTGTGGAACGGGTGAGGAAGCCGGAATACCCGGAGAAACCCCACGCACAGGCACTCCGGCTAATGTGCAAACAGGAAGCTCAGATTTGAACCCCCAAACTCAAAACTATAAAGTGTATGTGCACTAATCTTAGGTACACTGTGCTGCCTGAACCTAAAAGCTTACCATCAAACTCCCCGAAATTTTCAGTTCATTCCCATTAATTCCCACAGAGAGTTTCACAATATTCCTCATGGAAATGTTGTACCATTTGCAACCCCAATGGGAAACACTTTCACTTTGCCTGCCGCAGGCCGTAAAGCCATTTGATCACCCTGGCATTCCTCTCAATGACCGAGACGCCGTAGGGAACGCGCTCTTCAGCCTCCTCAGCATCTTCGTCAGGCCCGCCGGAAGCGGCGCACTCTGACCCCGGAGCGCTGACGCTGCGGAAGCGGGCCAGAGACACAATGTCAGAAGTGGATCCGGGAAACTCCTGCAGATCCGCGGGGTCCAAACCACACAGGTTGAAGAAGCGCTCCAACTCTGTCCCGGCTCGGGAAAATTGCTCGCTCATGTCAGATTTGGAGCGGGTCAGGGACGGACGTTTCCTGCTGCGAGGGGAGCCGGATAGATGGGTGAAGGCCGGGGACGGAGGGGGCAGAGTGAGGAAGATGGGAACTGGAGAGATAGGAGGCTGATCTGCTTTAGGCGTGGCGGCGACGGTTTTCAGAGGAGACGGAGGGGCCTTCGCGCGGAGGAGGAGGTGCGTAATAGTCGGGCGCAGGGGAAACTGCGGGTGTAACGGCATCGGCTGAAGCGGTTGGCGGATGAACAGCGGTGGCCTGCGAGGGGTTCGCCCACTGGCGGCTTGAGGTATGACGTCCACTCGACGAACCGTGCCCGCCGTCGATCCGGAACTTTCTACCCGGTCCGCTTTCAGTCTCACCTAGTTGAAGAGGTCAGTTGTTACAAGAGCAACATGTTTATAACAGCTGCATTTTTAACTGAGCAACAAATATCACCGCGAGTGGACTTGTTATTGTGAAAACCTGATGTGCTACACCACGCGGCTCGTGGCTCTTTGGCTGGTTCAATGCGGCTCCCGGGCTTTCACACGACAAGCGTCGAAAACGCCTCGGCAGTGGCGCTGCCATTCAAACAAGGCGCTAAATACACAGAACGTACTACGTCAGCCTATCATCAATCCCGGTTACATGATTGACATAGAGGGCAACCAATCAGATGACTGCATCACAGCTCATGTGCAAAAAATGGCGCTAAGTGCTAAGCTAGTGCTAACTACCTCTGATTTTAAGGCAGGGGTGCACAATTCGTTGATCCCAATCGACCGGGAGCCAGCAAACTGGTCGCAGGTCGTGGTGGGAGGAGGAAATGGCTGGGAAAAATAAAGATTTGTTTGTTTGTATCTTTAGCTTTCGTTCATTTTCAGCCCGTTCCGACTGTTGCTCATCGTAGTGTGCTTGCATATGTGCGCGAGTGCACTGGTGGGCACCCGCGTGAGTGCGTGTGTGTGTGTGTGTGTGTGTGTGTGTGTGCATGCGCAAGGATGGGTATAATGCGGCTCTTTGCAGTAACACAGTAAAAAAAATTGGCTCTTCGTCTCTGACTGGTTGGCCACCCCTGTGCTACACAATAAATGTCGGGAGACAAAAAAAAAAAAATCTCATCTACCAAACTTGCATCTCATGAAAAAGAATGAATTGATGACCACTGTAATTTTAGGTGTACAATATATCAATGTTGGCGTGAAAGAGTCCTGCACATTTTTCAAAGTGAATCTGCAAAATTTTGCATAGCATTGTAGAGGCTGACATGACGTTTGTAAAATGTTAAGCATGTGTCAATAAGAGTTGAGGATATGGCACAGGGTCAGTAAAACACTAAACATGTCGCCTTATGTCACAAAGTGAAAAAAATTGTCAACGTCATTACTTGTGCCCACATCAACCTCTGAAAATATCTATGATCCCAACACCCTTATACTGGACTTTGGAGACTTCAAAGGGGCAGTATAAAGGGAGCTCAGGAAAAAAAAAATCTTTCATTTTGTCATTATTGTTTTATAATTAATTAGAGTTTTGTATGTTTTAGGTAGAGCAACTTTGTTCCAACTGTGGTTATCAATGTGCTGTGGAAGTAACGTTGACTTGAGTCACCTGGGTGGGACTGGAGCAGTGAGGATGGGACGGTGGGTCTGGCGGGTCTTTTTTCGGGGAAGACGGCTGAGGGGAGTCATCAAGGAATTCTGCGCTCGCAACCGTACTGGGCCTGTCGCTCACGTCACTGATCAGGCTGCTCAGATGCTCGAGGTCGAGCTGGACGGACTCCTGTTTGCTCTTTGGCTGGCCGGGCGTCTTCTTGGCGGGCCTGAGAGTGCTGGCGACTGGGCTGAGCAGAGGCTTGCGCACGTCGGGAGGCCTGACCGGCTGCTGCTTGGACAGCGCCACCTGGCTCTTGACGTATTTGGCCTTGTCCGCCTCCAGCCTCTCCACAGCACTCTGCTTGGGTCGGACGGCCGAAGATGAACTTTGCCGGTAGAATTCGGGACCCACCGGGCCCTTGGGCCGCAGGCGAGGAAATGTCGCCGAAGCGCCGGGCCTCGCCGGCTGCCGGATGGCCTCCACTGGCATTTTCTATTTGCTTCCCGATTACAGTTGGAATTGGCTTTAGAGGACCAGTGAGGTTTTCCTCTTTTTGTTGGGCTGGTACATTGTCAGCAACGCTTTCCTGCCGACCTGTGGAAGGGAGACCAAATAAAGCCGAGAACTAGCAGTAGACGGACGCACAGATGGAAAATATTGAAACTAAAATAACCTTTTTGAAACTGAAAGCCACTTCTTGCGTTGGCCTACTGGTTAACACAAAGGGCTACAAAGTTCTGAAAAACCACATTTGCACACATGACCTTAAATGATGCCATTATTAATAATATACATTTATCATGTTCATGATTTCTCACAATATGTAAACTGATGATTTCTGAAAATGTTTACCTTTCTTTTTCTGCAAATCCTAGGAAATCACAATGTACCATCATTGGCAAGCTATTTTTAGAACAAACCAGTGGGCTACTCGTGGTCCTCAAGGGATACCTGATGCCGATGGGCACCATGTTGGTGACCTTTTCATAATATTCGTGAGCAATGAACACGGGTACAGATAAAAAAGGAAAAAAAGTGATTGACTAACCTTGACCTGAACTGAAAACGATGACAAACATTGTGTTTAGAGTTGCACAATTAGAACTACCCCAAAACTAAAGTCCCCCCCCCCCCCACACACAATTTCCCTTGTTCAAAGGTGCAGTTTCGATCAACGTGCGCAAAAAAGGAGAGCCGGAGTTCCAATGCATCAGGCAGTCCAGATGGAAACAGTTCAAGCATGAGCTGCTGATTGGTTTATAATATAGGTTCTTGGTTTGTAATATAGGTTGCATTCAGAAACTAATGGAAATTGAATGTGCTCTGCTTCTCTGAACACACACTGTCAAAGTGGTGTTAGGGTGCCAGAGTGAATTTTTGATCCACCCTTTGCTGATGGCAGCAAACAAGTTCCACTTGGACTAAACTTCCACTTCCAAATATGTAAACATTTCTCTTTTTAGTTTAAAATGACTTACATTTACTAGAATCCTGCGCAGTAACTGACCAAGAATCCACCTTTGGCCACAATTCGACATGGTATTCTAGTTAAGATAAGCCATTTAAAAAAAAAAGAAAAAAAAAAAGAAAAATCAGTACTTTGAAGCAGCACTTTCAAATCCAACCCAAACTTGTTCGTTGCCGTAGACAAGGATTTTGGGTGCACTTTAATCTAAATCTAAATCTATACAAATCACACCTGAGTAGAAGTTGCAGGACCAGCCAAACTATGAAAAAAGTGCGACAGGTAGTCAGAAAAATATGGTATTTCAAACGAATGGAAATTGGATATGCAATTGAAATATATAAATCTTATGAAATACAGGCAAGGCTAAATTGGCATTCAGCCAGTTTTATACCATTTCCTCAATCTCTCTGCCTAGCCCGAGGTCAAAAGCCACCAGTTTCTGGCATTCAAAAATATAATGCAAGTTAATAAAAGAGGGGCACTAGATGGACTTAGAGAAGTTGGTTTACCTCACTTGTGTCCCGTTTATCAAAACAGGAATTCTAAAATTCCTTTTGTACTTACATTCCAGAGACTGTGCTTTTTTAGAAAAAGTACTTCCACTTTTACGGTACTCTTTTTTTTTTTTTTAACAAGAGTAAGGACGTGTACTGAAGTACAGTGTGTGAGTACTTTGGCCAGCTAATTCTCTGAAAGGAACGTAACACAACTTGACGCCTCTGCCCGCGTGATAAGATGAAGACAATACAGGTGCTTAATTCCTTCCGGCTCTTGCCCTTCTTTGGATGCTCCATGTGCAAATTTAAAACAGTCAATCTGATCGTTGCCACTCACATTTTGCACATTGTCGCCATGCCAGATCCTCTGCCGGAGCTGTTTTGAGTTTCACCCCAATCACATTCGAACTTGTTCACTTTTACATTCGCCTCAACTACTGTTATCTCGTCAAGGATTGACATATGTCGAGTAGAGTTCGGTGGTAAAAGAGTTTCCAAGTCAAGAGACAAACAAATGAATCAATAGAAAGGGACAAAGCTTCGAATAAAGGACATGAAAACAAGGAAAGATTATTTAAAAAAAAAAAAAAAAAAAAAGGTCCCACGTGTATTAAAGACTCCGGGCATGCGGGGACTTGCCCTCAGCAACTCAACAATTCCTCCAACGCCCAAAACAAATGACAAGAGAGTTTCACAAATGAGAGGCAAGTCTTCACCTGATTGTAAAGAAAGGTCTCCGTTCGCCTTCCCTGCCTCTCGTGTTGTCGTCCCGCGAGGAGTCCACGCAAAAAGAAACGACAGGATCAAACATTAAGAAGCACCACCAGTCAAACCTGCGCGACAACTTCCGACAAGTACTGCAGTGGGCTGTTTCAGGCTCCACCCTTCTTTTTGCTGATTGGTCCATTCCAAGGGAAAGCCGGAATTTACCTACCTTCTCAAGCCAAACGAACGCACGCACGCGCGTGCAAACAACGACAAGAATATATATTTTTAAGATTAACTTTCAAACACTGATTTGTTTTTTAACGTAACATTTGTCACATTGCATTTTTGTCAGCTGACACGATTCAGCTTCAAATATTTAGTAATTCAGCTTAAATTTTTTTTTTTTTTACATTAAAAGACATCAGTCAACATCAGTCCCGGGTTTCAACTTCAAACACTGATACAGTATTCGAGTTACAGTTGTACAGTATCAGTTCAGTGTGAGCTCTTGAGCGTTCCCATTTCCATCCATTTTGTAATCAGTTTATCCTCACGAGGGTCGCCGGTCTGCTGGAGCCTATGCCAGCTGTCGTCGGGCAGTTGGCAGAGTACACCCTGAACTGGTTACCAGCCAATCGCAGGGCACACAGAGACAAACGACCACACTTAGACAATCACACTTTCAAGTGTTCCCATTCATGCATGTTTTTAATAGAAATAAAGTGCATTGTATTTTTTAAATGTTCAAGATTTCACATATCCAAATGATTCTTTTATTTTATTGCTTTTTATCACGAGCTATTATTGCTTCTAATGTATTTTAAAAGATTGATTACAACACTCTTTAAAAACATGAGATGAATGAAGACAATTGTTTTTACAGCATGAATTATTTTTATCCTACAACATGCATATTTTTGGAATACGGGATAAAGCTGGAGTGCCCGAAGAAAACCCATGCAAATATAGGTCTTTGTCCCTTTATGGCTTTTCTCACGGTACTACAGCAAACACACAAACAGGAAAATCAAATCAAATTAATGCATCTTTTAAACAAGACACCTGATAATGCAATGTGGTGTTTTCAATAGCATGTTCAGTGGATAAAGAATCAATAAGCCGAACCAAATACCAGGACATATTTATTGCCACTATAAAAATCTTCACTCAAGTTTTTGTGTGTGTGTGTGTGTGTGTTAACAGTTAAGCACGACAAAAGAATGGTTGAACTATGGCAATATACACTGAGTACTATTACATCATACATATATTTTTTTTACAGTTGGTTCATGTTAAATTGCATATTGACACTTGCCATGGATATAATCTTGTCTTTGCATAATAATGGCATTTTTAATAAATGACTAGCTCTCAAAAAAAAAAAACCAACCAAAAAAAAAAAAACTTTTTATGGTATTTTATCCAGCTCCTGCAAATGAACACTCTAAATGACAATATTTGCAGTTGGATTTAATTAATTATGTGCCCAGTAGTTTGTTGAATAATGCAAAAATGTTGATTTCATACAAAAATACAGTATGGTAATCCCTCACATTTTTTTTGTTTTTTACAGTGCACTGTGTTCTGCATCATGATTGGCTAAGGGACTGTAGATTAATGTCAACAGTCTCCACACCGCATCACTGTAGAGCTTGCCAAATTCTCTCCATGACAAAACCCACCATGTCGACAAAACTTTCTGCACAGTATTCCTAAAAACTGTCAGTTGTTTGTAAGAAAATATTTCTATTTTTGTTTTTTGTGTTTTAAATGCTTGGGCCTGAAAAAAAGTTTAACCTTTGATTTCATTCAATACAGTATTGTTTTGTAAATGTAATAATTGTAAAAATAAAGATGACTACTTCACAGATTTCACTTATCACGGGTACTTTTTGGAAGGTAAGTTTTTGCGATAAACGAGGGATAACTCTATACCTATAAATAGAAAAACCTGAAAAACTGATCTTCTGATGTTGGGGTCAAGAGACCGAGCAATTTTTATCTTTGTCCTTAGCACCAAGACTGTGAGAACATCTGCGTCTGAAACTGTCCCTCAGTCCCCATCGAGTTGGCTCTTCTTCTTCTTCTTCTTCTTCGCCGTCTTTTTCACCTCGACTTTTTCGTAGTTGCGGCGGCAGTGGGATGGGCTGTCCAAGGAAGAAGCCCTCCTGCTCAGAGTCGGATGAAGATGAGCATGTGGAGCACGAGTCTTCGTGCCTGCGCCGGAACGACCGCAGGACCAGTGAGGACGCGTCACTTTCTCTCTTGACTCGACACTCTGCAGTGTCCAGTTGAGGGCGTTCGACCCGCGAGTGACTGGCCAAGGCCGGGGGGGCACAGGAGGAATCGGATGAAACGCAGCGACCATTCCACCCTTGCCGTAGACTGCGCTGCTGATAAGAGGAGCCATCTGGTCAACACAAAGAAACAGACAAAAATACCCATTATCGACTCAAAGTGGAACTAAAGATTGCCCTAGAATTAAAGTGTGTTTTGAAAACTTGAAATTTGTTAAAAATGTGTGGGAGTGGTATAACAATGTAAAAGTGTTTTTATAAGGTCTCACTGTTTTGTAGACTTTCACGGAAAAGGCCGGGATTGGAACGTCGACCACGCGCTAAACAGTGGTTGCCTGTCCTCCTATTCTTACCCAGTCGATTGATCTGTGGCGGGATTCCTTTGTGCAGATGCAACCTGCCTCCAAACCCTCCTTCCAACTCATCTTCCTCCTGAGGGCTGTCGTTATTTTTTTGTGGCTCCTCTTGGTGCTCCTCTTCCTCCTCAACGGAGTAGCTGCTGCTGATTGGTTCTCGGAAGCTGACCCTCGCCGTCCCACTTCGAGACAGCAGGCGTGGTGAGTCGGGGCGTCTGTCCTCTGGCTGAGGGGTGTTCAGAGGAGACGATTCTTGCAGTACGAGGTCTCTGCACTTGATGGGAAGTGGAGGCGGTTCAGGACATGTGTCGGAGTGTGACGTCATGATTATCTGGAGAGAGTCTGGATGAGAAAATCAGATGAGGCTTCAAATAAACAGTTCTAATGGATGACATGATGATGTTCACCTTTCATGACTTGATTGGTCTTTTCCACCCAGTTCCTACAATCTTGATTGGTTGAGGTTCCTCTTGAACACAGACTTGTCAGAGAAGGTCCCGAATGTCCGTTTGAAAGGTCATCCACAGGTGGTTTCATCTTGCCACCGTCTGGCAGTAAAGTGTAATGCGGAAGATTGCCAGGCCAAGAGAGTCCCAGGCCATTCCCTTGATTGATGTGGGGAAGAGGTGAATAGGAGCCTCTTGGATGACCAACACATCCATGCGAAGAAACTCCATTTTCAACTGGAGTCAAGCAGTTGACACCTAAGAAAAAGAATGTGGACATCATGAAAATTGGGACCATTTTAACTTGAAACACTTGGGCTGGGACAGAAGTGAGTTTGGTTCTTTTTTTTTTTTTTTTAAATTAATGGAGTAACTGAACTGATTCATTTTCCCACAGTTGAAAAGCTCTGTTATCGTTATTGTACGTTAAATGTGATGCGTTAACAATTCATTTTGTTGTGAGTGTTCCTTCCTGTTTCAGTGGTTATGCGGTTGCTGTGGCTCTTTCATGCCTTGTATCTTTATTGTCATATAGGCTTGATGTCTCACAGTACACAAACTTGGGTGACTCAGTGACAAGTTGTCAATGCGTCGCGTTTTCTCCCGGTCAAGATTGTCAGCTCTCTTCCGTGTCTTCTGCATCCAGCCCCGCTCTCTGTAGTTACTTTGTATTGTCATAGATAAAGATTTTACTTTTCAACTTCCATGTCATGTCTGCTTCTGGGTCCTCAACTCAACTCAACTCAACTGTATTTATAGAGCACTTTCAAACAGCCATCGCTGCATACAAAGTGCTGTACATGGAGCAACTAACATATACACCAGTAAAGCAATAAATCAGTAACAAGGATGGTAGAAAGCACCAAACAGTAAAACTAAGATCAAATCTGAGTCATGCTGAGTCAAAATTCCGCTACCCATGTGACTAATTTTAGGTTACGACAACTGCATAATCGGAACGCACTCTGGCTCCACAAGAAAGGCTCATTTCATGCCTCTTAATGTCAACGTTGCTAGCTCCTTGCTCCTCTATATTAAACGCGACCCAGATGATGTTCTCACGCCGCCATATTAGCGATTGTCTTAATTATCTTAGCGCACATCGAGGTGCGAAGACCGAGCATCAAGGAGCTTCCTTGGGCGAGCCTAAAAGGAGGGACATCTAACAACATCCTCTGTGGAAGCCCTGTAGCACCTCGATGGTGACTTATGAAACAGGGCATGTACCAGCAGGACTGTCAACATGCCTGACTTCAAATTCACCCTCCACCACTTCCTCTGTGCAGTCAGTGACTAAATGACAATTAGTAATTGACAATCACTATATAAATCAGCATGTATTGTATTGTATTGTATTGTAAGTGCTGGCTCTCTCAAATGTCCCAATACATAGCACTGCTTTTGACAGTTGACTTTTGGTTCTCAGTTTTGCTTGTCAATGTGTACTAATGAGGTGCAAAATACAAATTTTGACCTGCAAACTGCAATGCAAATCCACTTATTGGAAGCTTTGTTGTGGGGAGGTTGGCAATATAAAACACAGGTGTCAAACTCAAGGCCCAGGGGCCAAATCTGGCTCGTCACATCCTCTTATGTGGCCCACGAAAGCCAATCAAACATGACAACTTCCATAATGCTTCCTAAAAGCCTAAAATGTACAAACATTTCAAAAACCCCTCTTAAAGTAACATGAATAGTTGAAAAAAACTATTATTCTCGACTTCTTTCCAGGTCATAACTGCCCTCCCAAGGGAAACCCAAACTACAATGTGGCCCTCCACAAAAATGAGTTTGACATAAAAGATGCATGATAGTGGCTCTCAAAGACCGGAGTTGCCCACCCCTGGTCTATGTAGTTCACAATATTCTGTTCGGCTGAAGCGGGCGAAAAGGAATATATATTTTTTCTTTTTGCTGCTATTAATATTGTCACATTACGCCGATGATATGGCAATTTTAAATTCAAGCGAGCGATAAACTCCTTTGATACAGACTCGGTACACTGGTCTCACTGTCTAATGGGGCACTTGAAACGGGTATCTGGTACCGGTCGCCAGTGTGTTGAAGTACCTGGTGGGTGTAGTGCATAAAATATGCAAGGAAGAGAGCACTGCAGAGGACAGCCAAACACATGGTTGTACCGGATAGCATCAATGTGACTTGGCTATTGTTGGCATTACTGGACACACTGGAGCGGCTCATTAATAAATGAGAAAAAGAGTTGTGTGTGCCTATCAAGCGATGGGACACATGCGAAAAGACGAAGCCAACCATATAAATGGGTCTCAAAAGCCGTTCTGGGCCTAGTATGGAGTGAGTGCCTGAGTGCCAACTTGCACAGCGGGTGAAAGGCGAGGCAACAAAGTGGACGTTGATGTCAACAAACACGCATGGAAATGACCATTTATTGGGTCCCCAAAAATGATTGTGCTCTTTTTTTCTTAATGAGTGATAAGTTGACATCATAATTATCGTGACGGCCCTACATACAACATAAAATTCAAGACCCAGATATCAAAATTCTAAATTTTTTAAAGGTAATATTTCCAAATTCAATGTTTTAATATGTCTTAAGTTCCAATGGGAACCCTGCTTAATACTTACCACTCATAACTGGTTGTAATGGAGAACCGCACTGCAGTTGCTGGTGACGCTGGCCCGGCCCGCAGCGTTTCTGCTGAAGAGGTCGGATCGGGATGACCGAGTCGCAGGAGTCCGAGTTATCAGGGTCATCCCCGAGTGAACAGGCCCTGGAGCAGAAGATGAGCCCCCGTCGAGGTAGGAAAGGGCGACCCAGCAGAGGCAGGCGGCAACGGGCACAACAGAAACAAAACTCAGAGGCGTGCCAGCGTTGACCCTCATATGTCATCTGGCTCTGGCCGATGCCTGAAATGGGATTTGAATCATTTGAGGGAGCAAGACAAAGAAAAGAAATGAAATGCACAGATAGGATTTTGTTTGCTTCTAGGGCTAACCACATGTTTAGTTACAGAAAAATGAATACATTGCTACCATGACTCACAAGTTTCATTCAGTATTTGACGACGCTCTTAACTTTAAATATTCCAAAATCAACTTTCCTCATTGAAATCAATGGAAATGCCACTCCCCCCCAAATGTAAGCATTAATACGGGGAAACTTTTTTCCCCTCAATTGCTATCCTTTATTTCATCTCCCTGGACCTAATCACACTCGTGCAGTACATACACAATGAAATATAATAATGTATAGTGCAAAGTGAAAAGTAAAAAGGCCTCACGCTGTGTCGAGCAGCGAAATGTCCGGCCAACAAGGCGACATGGCCTTCAGATGTCTGTGCGGGACTGAAAGTATGAAAATAAGCCGGTGGTGGATGAGCATGGTGGTTAGCCTGGCTAGTCTGGGCTAGACCAATCACAGCTAGTCTTAAAAAGTTTGTACCAGGGGGCACCATGCGACTGGCGACCAACGAGTGCATCTGCGCCAAGTGAAACTCCATCTTTGTTGCCAATATGTTAATGCGCAGACAGCTGCATGCTCACAAGAACTTTATTCAACATACAAGTTGTTTGCCACAACATGTACCAACATTGCAAACAACAAAATGATGAATAATATTTCATTAAAAAAAAAGGTTGAATGTGTTCAAAGCGTGCAGGAAGTGTAAAACTGTATTAAAAAAAAAACATACGCTGTATCTACGATACAAAATTTCACCTGTTGCAGGTGATTCTAGAACCCATCCTTTGCGATAAATGGACTCACTGTCAGTGAATTTGCAAACAGCAAAGGATGATTTGCTGAGGCTTCACTGTATCATATTTGATCTCGAGAAGCGTTTTGGCGCCGGTACCTATTTGTTCTCCGCAGGTGTCACAGTATTCCGCATAGAGGGACTCATAGCAGGAGCAGCAGTATGGCCGGCACTCTCGCATGATGTAACGCTGACCGCCCAGTGCTGCCTCGCACTCAAAACAGGTGAAGTGCTTCATGTGCCAGAACCTCCCTTCTGCCTCTGTGCATTCGTCTGCAAAAATAATCTTGGATGGACACACAGGACAAGGAGAGCACATATAAAAAGGCTTCGGGTTAATAAAATGACATTAAATCAGACATTAATCAGTGTCTTGAAGGGATGAACAGATTGTGGAATTCAAATCGACATCGCAGTGTCCATCCATCCATCCATCCATCCATCCATCCATCCATCCATCCATCCATCCATCCATTCTCCACCGCTTATCCGGGGTCGGGTCGCAGTGTAGTAGAATATAATTCTCAAATTGCAAGTGTGTAATACATTTTGATACTCATCATATTTTCATTATTTAATATGATCATGAAAAAAAAGTGCCATTATCATTTCAATTACACGACCTCATTTTTCACAATGATAGGGGGACAATGATATTGTTTTTCAAAATTATTCATGCATAGAATATTTCCCAAAATGGCATTACAACTTCAGTTTACCACAAATGTCCTTTTCCTTACCCCATTCTCCCCGACTTTTTTTTTTTTTTTTTTTGCATCGCTAGTTGGCAGTCACCTCATCACAGGCTTGACATCGTGGCTTGAGCCTCTCAGCGTGATGCCGGCCGCAGTAGATGCGTCCGTCGTGGTAGAAGTAGATGAGGTCGACCAGCAGCTCATTGCAGCAGGCGCACTGGAAACACTGAGGGTGCCAACAAGTGCCGTTTCCCGCCCGACTGGCAAACACGGCGATGTCGCCGCCACTGATCTTTCTGCCACACTGGAAAAATGTATTTCACTCAGAGACTCGGGTGTTTGTTGTTTTTGTGCTGAGTGTGTGTCAACATTGAAGTGCCCATGCTAAAAATACGGCTAACCACAGAACGGACGTCACCGACACGGTGCCCACACGAGGAGCTTGCCAGCCTGCTGTAAACATAGCATAGCATGACATTGTGGTTTCCGAGGAATGTAGCAGAAGTGATCATTTAAAAATGTAAACACAGCTGTCTAAAAAAATGGTTGCATATTGATACAGTTTGCATATCTGTCCTACCTTTGGAATGTATGAAGTATGACAAATATTGAAATGACCGGTCTTCACATGTGTGAACATGTAATTAATAATAACAAAACATATAATGAAGTCAGACAGCTGTTTTCGAAACAGAGTTGCTCATATTGTCAGCTGTTCGAGACTCTGCTTTTAAGGCCCACAGAACATTGCGTTCTATAATAATATCAACAAAACCCAACCAAAAGAAGGAATGGTGTCGCTAGCTTTTTATGTTCTTTAAGAATCAGCAGGAGAACATGGATAGGTTGCACGCAAAGCACTGCTTTCTGGCCAAAAAGCAGAGAAAACAAGCATTTTGTTTGTTTTATCCACGCAAATATTTTTTGCTTTTGTGACACCTCAATCTATAAAACAACAAAAGCAAGACCGGGATAGGGCTTTTGCTGGTCCAACAATCATTTATTTGCAGATATCCAACGAATAAATGCGCAGTAAGCAAAGCTGACCTGCCGCATGACTCGAGTTGAATGACAGTGTTTTTTTTACATGTGCTTTGTCATTTACTCCTCCAACGGTGTCATCTTTGCTCACAATTGCGTCAATTTTTCTACTACGTGATGCAATATACCATACTTACACATACTCTACAGGAGAGCAGTTTAAATAGTGACATAAAACGCACAATTTATCTCCTTTAAGATAAGTGAGGCTGTTGCACTGTGTATGCATGACCCTGAAATAAAAATGCTGCTCTACCTGCTTGCACACGGCCCCAGTCATGGTGACGGGGAAGAGTCTGACGACGCCTCGGCCTACATTGTCTCGTTTCCTCTGCTGGCTGAACAAACGTAGCTCCCTCTTCTCCTCCTCGTTTAGCGAGTTGCAGTACTGCGGCTGTGAGATGAAATCAGATGCATCACATTCCCAATCTCCAATACATACGCCGTTGCGTCCTGGAAAGTCAATCCCTCCTAAACTTCAACGAAACGCATCTGAAAACATGTCTCCAAAAACAACCCAGATGTCATGCGAAATTTGCTGAAATTTATGTCTGTCAGGCATCTGCGAGGGGGGAGCACATTTTACTTTACTTTTATCAAATAAGATTTTCTTTACATTTACATGACAACTAAGAAACTGCAACGAAGGCTCCAAAGTTTCTTCCACGGAAGTCTCGGCTTTGTCAGGTCTCTTTTGATAAAGTTAATCGTGTGAGAGAGTGATGTTACCTCACTGTCATGGGCAGGAAGTTGGTGCAGCAGCTGCTTGATTCGGTATCGTTCCCCTACGCTGTTCACAAAAGGCACCCTGTCCTCTGGCAAACTGCTAAAATACTGGTAGACCTGCAAGGCGGGGTATTCACAGAAAAAATTGTGGTTAAGTAATACAAATAATAAAGTTTAAGCCTAGGACACCCTAGGTCGCAATTCAATGATTGACGTTGGATAGGTTGGACTCCGCCAAGGCTGCCCTTTTTCACTAAATCTGTTCATGACTTTTATGGACAGAATTGTTAGGAGCAGATGAGACAGTGAGGGGGTCCGCTTTGGTGGCCTCTGTATTGCATCTCTGCTTTTTGCAGATGAAGTGGTAGTGATGGCTCTTCGAGCCGGGATCTCCAACTGTCACTGGTGCAGTTCGCAGCAGAGTGTGACGCGGTTGGGATGAAAATCAGCAACTGCAAATCTGAAACAATGGCCCTCTGTCGGAAAAGGGTGGAGTGCCCCTCCAGGTCGGGGATGATATCCTGCCCCAAATAGAGGAGTTTAAGTATCTTGGGGGCTTTTGTCGCTGAAACAACACGGCGGAAACAGGATGTTGTGATGACAGAAGCAAAAATCTTTCATGCAAGTGGGCTAACGAGTGTAAAACCCAGTTGCTGCTCGGCTGCGACAACTGGGCTATTCCTTTCCTTTCCTGTTCGAGCAAGATCACCTGGAAGTACTTGGAGAAAGGTAGAGTGAATTAAAAAAAATGTTGAAAAAGTGCCTTGAACCCAACTGATGTGATGGCGTTGGGCCAAAACCAGCTATGTCCAAATTTGGTAAATTTCATATTTATTTGCAGATTGGTACTCCTGTTCAGTCTCCACATGGGTCCGTTATTTTCCACAAAGTATTTACCAATCTAAAGTGTTGAATAGAGCTTGCTCCCTTTCACGATGCAATGTTCAAAGACTCATCAAGCAAGCTGATTTTTTTTTGTTGGGTGTTCCTGAAAAGTGAGGCTGTTGGAGCGATGGCAGCAGTATTTCAAGCAACAAGCCACTGACAAATAAGTGGCGAATTGCTAGTTACTAGTTATTAGTCAACATCAGAATAGCTGTTTTTGCAGCCCATAATTTTCACATAAGAAAATAAAATGTCAGCTTCACATTTAAGAAATACTAGCCAGTACATTTCCAGTCATCATCAGTTTAGCCTCTGAAGTGATTGTCACTGATGGGGACAACCTGACTGATCGAAGTAGAGCTTCTTGAAGTCCTCATAGTAGTTTCTCAATAAAGATGTGTTGGCAATACTAGCCCTCATACAATGATACAGGTTAGGAAAAGTGCAGTCAAATCCATTTACTGTCCTTTCAGAAGCTTGAAGGGAAGCACCTTTTCAACTTGCCTTGACCAAATGACTTTTTTTTTTTTTTACAAAGGTTGAGAAAAGGTTCGAAGAGCTGACTTTCCCAAGTATCGTCTCACCTGCTCAGGCTTGAGGCCGGGCGGAACCCAGGCGTATTCCTCAGACGCGCAGCCCGAGTCGTCGTCGGAGATGGAGTGCCTGCGGAAGTCTGACACCAGCTTTGTCATCATCTTCTCCAGCTGGCCGGGCAATGAGCGGACGGCGTGCTCCTCTCGCTCACACTTGCAATGCATGCAGATCTTCCTGTGGATGCAATTGACAAAAAAACTATCAACGGCATCTTCTATTATATGTCAGAGTATCATCACGTGAGCGTCGAGAACGAAAAATGTGAAGACCTTCAACCCTCAATCGCAGACACATTGCAACATCTTGTGGAAAACTTTTTACGGAAGAATGGAAGCTGTTATAGTTGCAAAGGGGGACCTACATCAGTCAATTTTTTGTTACGTCTGAATGACAAATGGACAAAACAAAGCAAAACTCATAATTACTGCCAAATTAATAATCTTTGAAACCAACCCTATGTATAATTGCAAAGGTTGGCTGAGTTGCCCGTTCTCGCACGGCAACTTAATTTGATTTTTAATCCCATCACCGACGGAACTACAGTGCAAGGGATCACGACTTGTCGTCGCACCAACTAACATCCCACTTGCATTAATGGCAGCGAGTCCCTTCATTTGCGCCCAAAACAGGTGGGAAATTAGGTCAGTGGCCTAAGCCAAAGGGGAGAAGATGGGCGCCGTTAATCTCCCTCTCAGCCTTGTCCTTGGACTCCACATCTGTTGTTGAGCGGGTGCACTCATTTGTGGGGCAGACAGAGGGGTGTGATCACGTGGTGCAGGGGCGACCATGTGGCATGAAGTATATGACATCATTGTTGTGTAAGAGACTGCCAGCTGGTACTAGTGGCTCAAGTTGGCACAAAGCTGCTTTATGCCAACCGGCACAGACTAACATCAACTACACAAAAACGCCACGCCTTAAATTCCGACACTACCAAAGAATACTATTTTTCTCATTATAAAAACTTACAAGCATTTGGTGGTGGTTTTTTTTTGGGAGGCTGGAACAGATTAATGGCAGTTCCATTCATTTCAATGTGGAAAGATTTGAGATGCGAGTGTTTTGCGTTACAGGCTTGGTCACAGTCTGAATTAAAACATTATCTCAAGGCACCACTGCAGTGGTTCTTGGCAGAACATGACCTGCGTGGTGCACAGCATCTGGACCATGTACCATGTCCTCGCTAGCAAAACAGGACACGAACATGTCCGTGGGTGTATGGAAATAGCTGGAGCCCACACGGCCGCCGTCCACCAGGTGATGAAAGCAACTTTCAGCTATGCAACAGACATTTGGCCCAAACCCGCCCCATCAGAGTTACCGTTGCTAAGTGTTGACATGCTTTCAACATGCCACTTTTTGCGCTCCATGGACAACAGAGGAATCCACGTATCCTGCAGTGACCATGGACTCATTCCTCTAACTGCAGCTTCGCTCCTTGCCTCACGATTTACATGCTAGCACGAGGAGTAGAAATGTTTTGGGGTTATGAGACATGGCCCCTTGATGTCCTTATTTGATGGAAATATCCGCTAAAGATGACGTGTGCCACAAGTGCATCGTCTGTGCATCAGTATTATGACCACAAATATCCACTTCATGATTTATGTTTCAAATGGCATTGAACTGAATTCAAATATCGACACTGTTCGCTTCACAACCTTGCGGATGCATTGCCGCACATACTACCTTTGATTGCTTGCCAACAGAATTTACAATCTTTGAGTCAAATATTTTATGCATGTGCATTAATAGCTTTTATGGCTACGGTTTTCTGTTAAATCTCGGTGGAGAGATTTCTTTTGAGAATATTTTGTAAACAATTACTTTCGGTTTGGGTCACATATGCCAGATGGTGGGACAGAATCATGGGGAGAGAGAGAGTGAGAGGTGGGAGAGAAAGACAGAGAGATTGCTGGAGAGAGAGAAGGGAGAATTGTGTCATGTGATGGACTTTTATCATCGTTGATTTATCTCCTACCGAGTTACAAGGCGCGCATGGTACTGAATGTTGGAGTCAAAGAGATGATTGTACATATCGATTGTAAATAATGTGGAATATCTTTGTTGTAGTTTTCACGGTAGGTGGTATGATTCTTTCCCGTTTTTGATGCACTGCTTGTGCTGCAAATGCGTGTGACAAAGTAAGTCTTAGTAGAATATGAACAACACGAAGATTTGTTGGTCCTAAAATACGAATTGTAATTGTAGCGGTGACGAAGTGTAATTTACCGATGATGGAAGCGTGGTTCAGATAACAATGACGAACTGGCGATTACAGGTTTGGTTTGGCTTGAAATAATGACAGACTGACAATGACGGACGAGTGACAGACTGGCAGAATCTACCGACGCGCCCACCTCTGTATTTCACTGTACCGGTAGTTGTGCTGTAATTGGCCAGTCTGTGGCTTGGTGAAACTTTGCGAAACGGTTCAAACACAACGGGATTTCAGGTAAAAATAAGCAAGTAGAATTGCTTGGCAGAGAACTTCTCAAAGAGAGGACTCACGTAGTGCTTCACATGGTTCACACGCATTCTGGACTAAATAGAAGTGGACAGGATTATCTAATGCCATTATTGCAAACTAAAACGATTCTTGTGTTTGATCTCCGAGTCAGCCAACGGTGCACAAGACACGCTTTGGTGACTCCTCCTCACCTGCCATTATGGCAAACGAGTCCAGTTTAGCGTGCCGACCAATCGCCAGCTGTGTTCTTGATTAAAACTCCCTCAGATCCCTGCACTCATTTCTCTTTTTGCGTGGATCTTTTCAATGTCATTGCCGCCCCCGACTCCCAATCTCCACTCACGCCGACAGTCGGCTGGAACAAAAGACTTTGCGGCACCGAACACAAGCCATACACTAGTGTAGTGCACACACATACGCAGTTCTCAGGGGACACGCCAGTGCACGTGACTTCTGGCATGATATGCAGCTTCTCCAAGTCTGTGAGGAAGACAACATGGCGTATGTGGGGAAATGTGAAAAGCGTATGTGAAGTCACAACACCACCAGTCTGCATTCTTTCTATCGTTGAATGTGTGTGTATTTTCAACTTTGCTGTGAACACATTAACTTTTTCGCTCAACTGGATTTTCTAACAAAATGGAGACCAAGGCAAAAATAATGATTTCAACTTTCAATCTGTCAACTTTTGACGAACAAAAGTTTGACTTTAGTGTTAGTTTTGAAGCTGTAAGTAGAAGTCCTTACTTTTTTTTTTTTTTGCTTAAGAAATTCAAGCCAATGAATTAATTATAGTGCTGCCTTGAGATACGAGAGACCCAAATTAAGTTTTTTGAGATACAAGTCATCATTTGGCCAATTGACTTGAGATAGGAGCACTCTATGATGGCCGTGAACTCAAATCAACTCGAGCAGCCGTTTGACGCTCACACTTTCAAGGTCGAAATGTCATCAAAAACTTTTACTTTTCAAAAGATGAGGCGACAACTATGCAGGGTGTCAACTGTCAACTCAACTCAGCTTTAATAAAAACAACCCTCGCAGCATATAAAGTGCCGCACAACTCAGAACGTGGTTATGAGATTTAATACATTTGCCACGATGACGATCGGAAGTTAACACACCAGCTTACACCCAACGTTAAAGTGCTGAGTGCAGAGAATCTGGCTTTGCATTAACTTGAGCTAACAACATGTTAGAAAACAATGCGCTATCTCAGGACGGTGTACTACTCCCCCCCCCCCCACCTCATTATGATAAATGCTGTAGCTATGGCCATTACCAGCACACAGAATGGCCATGATTACGATTAGCGCATACATCTGATCTGCTCTTCCTGGAGAAGCAGATCATCGTTAAGCTGATTTCAACTGTGACAAGAATAAACAATTGCACTTTAGTGGAAAAAACATTACACTTTCAGGGAAGTGGCACTCAGTGAGGGCTCTTGTTGATAATTAGCCGACTGAAAAACAACAACTCCTCTGTGTTATATTTAAAGGCTGTTTCGCACATTATTCAAGTTTTAAAGATATGAGGAGGGGCAAATAGCTACATACCGCTGCTGCTGTTCACCTTCACTTCTGCATTCGGTGAAGCCTCGACTATTTGTGGATCCCTCGTCCCGAAATCACATTCTCTCTTTGTATTCATCGGTGGGACCTATCGTCCGTCAGATATTTGTTTTAAACTCAGCTATTTTGCGCTCTTTCAAGAATGCTATCAGATGCCACAAGAACAAGATGGCCATGAAAGTATTGGTATCGAGAGACTATGGTGAGGTGATACATCTTGACTGAGAGAGTAACATCTTGGTATGTCAGGGAGGAGTTTACTTTAAGCTTGGATTGTTCGTGGAAATGACAGTCTTTGCCACATGTACATGCACACTTCCCATGTATTTTTTTTTAAATCAAATGACAAGTAAAACATTTGTTTCATGAAAGGAATAGGTATCAAATGAGTTTTAAAACAACATTTGAACTGTGTTGATTTATATGTACAGTTTAAATTATTAAAATAGGCCAGGGATGGGCAACTGGGTAGCCTGCGACCATGGTCTAAGTGGCAGAATGATGTGAAACAAAAAATAAGGGTCCTGACACTCTCTACCGTATTTCATAGCTGCAGTTTCAGGCAAGCAACAAAACGCACAGGGAGGAACTGTGAGCTCCTGAGTGAGGAAAAACACTTCCTGACAAGGAGGCACGGCAACGTCACAATCAAGAGGGTCCTTCAGTTCGTACCTCCATCCGTGGATGCGGAAGCCGGGGCACTGGTCTCCACAGCGCATGCAGGGCTGCCCTCTGTCTGGGTCCTCTTCCTCCTGCTGTAAAAAAGCAGCTCAGCTCACATCATTTTCCACCGCAAGCAGTCCAACTTCGCTCTGGACGCACAACACCGGACAGAGGAGCAGACGCTCGCGTTTTCTGCACGGTGTGGTGGACAACCGCCTGTCTACTGATGACACACGGATTAGCTAATGGAACGAACAAATGGAAATCCTGCATTAGCATATGTGCATTGGCATAGACACGACCCCTGAACCCGTTGCACAAAAACACCACCCTGTAGCTGTGCACCAACACAGTGAGATAACGGGAAGCTTCTCTCGTTCTGTACTCATCTCACACAGGTTTTGAAATACATGGGGAGGTAAATGCTCTGATCCGGAAATGCCTAATCAAATGAATTCGCAAAGAACATTCTAAAACATATTTCACAATAAACACCTCAACATTTGCTTCATTTACTGTTCTTGTGCTTTTATCCATCCATCCATCCATCTTCTTCTGCTTATCTGGAGTCAGGTCACTGGGGCAGCGGCTGTCCTGAGTCCCAACCGGATGACCCAGCTTCTCACCTTATGTCTAAGGGAGAGCAAGGAAACCCTGCGGAGGAAATTCATTTCGGCCGCTTGTGTCCAGGACCCACAGCTCATGTCCGTAGATGACCCCTGACCACAGAGTTTCCTGAGGCACATGGTCAAACGCTGACTCCAAGTCTACACAAAACATGTGTGGACTGGATTGGGCAAACTCCCAATGCACCCTCAAGGACCCTGCTAAAGGGTGTGGTGCTCCACAGCCAGGGCACAACCCACACTGCTCCTCCTGAATCTGAGATTCAACTTCCTGAGAAACCCTCCTCTCCAGCACACCTTAATGGACCTTACCAGGGAGGCTGAGGAGTGTGATTACCTGAAGTTGGAACACACCCTCTGGTCTGTTTTCTTAAAAAGAAGAATGAGCACTCTGCTTTGTCAATCCATAGGCACCGTACCTGATGTCCATGCGACACTGTCAACCAGGACAGCCCCACAAGATCCAGAGCCTTGAGGAAGTCTCGTCAGATCTTAATCACCCCCAGGGCCTTGCCTGAACCACCTCGGTGACTTCAACCCCAGAGATAGGAGAGTCCACCTTAGAATCCCCAGGCTCCACTTTCCTCAAAAGAAGTGGTGTGCTTTTACTTATGTATTTATATCTACTGGGATATAATGCACATTCTCCCTCGATGTCTTGACGAATCAAACTTGGGAATCCACTTGTGCAGAAAAAACACAATTGACTTCACTCACTAATAGATGCAGACAAATGTTTCTAACACGAACAAGTTCACTGTACAGTGGACGGCTGGAAATTTGCAGTTTGGTTCCTGCAGATTCACTTATCAAGTCAAGACAGCTTTTATTGTCAAATATGCTCTGTGTGTAACATAGAGCACAGATGAAATTACTTTCCTCTCTCAACCACAGTGCAAATATTCATGGATGTCCTCCCCTCCCCCCAAGTATTATTTTTAATGTTAAATTGAAGATTCGCGATTATACGTGTATGAATGGAAAAGTGCCTGTGTCATGGTCATTTAAAACATTTACTCAACTCGTTGGAAAGTTCACGGTTTTAAATCTTGCAACACTTTCTATGAAAGTAGCTTTAGTGCTCCTTTGAGATGTCAGACCGCCCCTTGCCATTGTCAGACACTTGTTATGCATTCATGTCCTACCTTTGCACAAAGATGCTTTGTATAGTCCATGCTTTATGCACTGCCCTTGTTGGTCATTCGGGACTTGCGTTTCGTGTGTGTGTTTGTGCGCGTGTGCGTGTGTAGACCTGATGCCTGCTGGTTTTGGAGCTGGCCGGAAGGAAGCAGGCACAGGATGAGAGCTGCACCCTTTCCCTGTGACTGAGCCCTCCACTTTCTGTTCCTACGTCAACAACCACACTATCACCAGCGTGTGCAGTTGACAGCGATAAATATATTTTGTTCTTTTAACTCCACACACCTGAAAAGCACTGTAAGCACGTTGATAAGTGTTTTTTCCATATCAGTTATACATTGGAAACAAGATATACAAAGGCACCAAAAGACTGTTTGCATGCTCTTCTTCCTAAACACACACACTGTCACAGTGTAATTGCAGACAATGTACATTGCGCTTAGATGCAGACAGTTTAATGTGCAAAGCAATAAAATGAAAGGGGGGGGGGGCTTTGAACAGGATACTTGCAGGTATCTGCTTAGTTTTTTCTTTTGTTGGATGACTGCAGCCACATTTTTATTGGCGTTCAGATCAAGCCTGCTTTCATGGGTACTATAATAGTGAATGTTGCAGCCCAGACAGTATCATGCCGATACAAAAAACAACCACAAAAAAGTAATAGTGTTGTTAAATACTTCAATAAAGTACAACCGAACTCAGTTTTGATCCTGTTGCCTTTTTAAAAACATAGGCTAGCATGTATGCATGCACTGTATTTTTTAAGATCGCGTCAGTTTTACCATGCCTGCGTCCAATAACACAAAGCGTCTTGTATATGTGTTGAATACAGAAAGAGCACCCGCAACTGCCACTACACCTTTTAATAGGGTGCACCGAATGGTCGTGAAAATACGGTGGGTATAAAGGGGTTGTATAATCCAATGGACAATCTGCTGGAGTACGAATATGAATGAATAATTTAATCATTAATTTCATGAAGTCTACGTAAAATAAACATTTGTGAAGGAAAATAAGAGTGCCTCAAGTAATATTTAGGCTTTCAACAATAGCTTCTGAACACTGGGTGGCACCCGTTTAACCTTGAAGAAGAAATGTGACATGACACCATATCGTGGTGCTGTGCTACACCGCAAATAGGTGAATACATAAAATAAATATGACAGAGAGTATTGAGATTACTGCAGTGATCAAAATCACTTTTTCACAAATATCGATCAATAATTATCGGCCACTGATCGATTGGAGCAACCTTGATTTAAGTTAGATCAAAACATACAAGGCCTACAATTCTTTCAGATATATATTTTTTTTTATCCCACCGCTTCACAATAATACAGGAGAGTGTTGCATTTACATCTCTGTTTATTTGCCAGTGGGCAAACATTGTATGCAGCACTCCGATAGAGCCGTTGCGTTGTTGTTCTTGACTCTTGTTTGGTACACATCCATGCAAGTAGGGTTGACGACAGCTATTTCCTAACACTGGCATGGAAACTGAGCCTTGGAGGCATACAAGACAAAGCGCGTTTACATTCAACACTGCGAATGATCATTACTGCGAGCAGGAATAGGAGTAAATAGCCGCAGGATCAGAAAACCTTTGGAAATTGCGCCCAACCAACCCCCTGTTGATCACAGGGCACCGGAGGCTTTTTTGCTGACGTGACATTCAGGGAGTCGACAGATGAAATCACACCAAATGAACACCCTTGTATTGCCTTTTTTCAACCTGACCTATGTGACGCTTTTATTGAAGCAAGCTGGAACTTGCTTAGTCTATTTGGCTACAGCTACAATTCAGTGTTTGAATGCAAGATGTTTCGCTAAATACACGGCTGCCTCGATTAAATTGATAACTCAAAGAAATTGATTATAAAAATGGTCAATTGAACAAACAGTAAGAAAACAATCACGCAACAAGCACAGTCATTCACAGGCTGCTGATGGCCATAACTCTCACGAGTCACTGAACACACAGACTGGCTAACGGGTTCGCCAATTAACAGCCAGCCAACACTAAGCTCTCATTTGCTGACACCCACGTCACTACACACTAAGTCACAGATACTCCATGAGAACAAGAAAATGATCCCCAAAAAATTAATAATACCTGCACTTCACATACACTTATAATAATGCAAAAATCATTTTTTGCCCAATTAATCGATTAATCGATGGGATAAGCTGATCTAAAAATGTTCCATGCTAAAGTTTGGCTTTTTTTGCTTTATTTCTCTTGATACCAAACAAGCTTTGAGACTGTATTTTTTCAAACCCATCTCAACTTCTTCAGAAAAAAAATTGAAATCAATATTTTTTTTTTCTTTCCAGAAAGTGTGAAAATAAGTGCTTCCTTTTGAAAAAATGTCCTCTTTGTCAAAGCCTGTAGGTAAACACGGTCTTTCCTAAATTAAGATTACAAATGCTTAGCAATTTATAGACCAAGTTAACCCAAAAAATATTTACATTTTGTTCTATGGAGCCCCACCAGTCTACACATGTAACAATACGTGCAGTATTTTCTATACCGGCTATGCTTGTTATCTTCAAATATGTTCACAATGTGTTTTAGAAGTGTGTTTTGTTAAATGTTAATGTGTTTTATGCATGTGGAAGGAGAAATCATGGTTAACAAAAAATGTTTTACACTCTCCAGTAGATACGGAATAGTTCAAATACGTTTAGAGAGTATGTCGTGTATATGGTTTCTACATGAGGGGAGATTCACTTTCCTGCACTCTGAGCTGATTAATACTTGATTCCTAAGTGATTTATAATTTACCACAAATATCATGAGAACAAATATTTTAGCTTCAAACTGGCTCACTTTTCGAGTGACGATGGGAGAGTTGCCTTCAATATTGATACCCATAAACCTTGTGTATTGAGTGTAGTCATTGTATATATATCAGTGAAGAACAAGTGTCTGCACTGGTTCAATGCTACGAATTACACAAAAGCCGCAAGTCAACTTATTCGGTCTGGAGATACAGTAGGTTAAGCACACTTGCACAAATTAATGCAGGGGAGTCCAAACTATCACTATTACTATAATTAACTTTGGTACATGCTGCGGGCCACCCACCACCCATTTGTGCAGCAGCCTGCAGCACATACTCAAGTTAATAATTGACAGCAGTTGTGTCATTTGAGTGCTGGACTCCTTACCTTATTTTCCACACGTGGTGGCAAAGCAAGAGAAGTGAACAAGACGAGAACAAGAAAAAAAAATCTCATTTCTCACCTTCTTGTTTTCATCAATGTGCAGTAGTGCCGAACACAAAACATTTTTTTTTTTAAAGACAAAAAAATAGCAATCCATAGCTGTAATTTACATTTGAACAGGTAAGTTGATTCAAAACTAGAAATTCAGACAGTTAACATGGTGGCCCAGTACTACGGTACCTCACCATCAAAAATGGTGCGATACTGCATCGTTTTTACTCTACGACTGATCCCCCCCCCCCCATGACTTTATGCAGTTTAACAAGTATTGAACAATAATGAACATAGTTTTTACTTTATAATGGGGCTATTATGAACTGTCCAAAAAAAGACAAATATATGTCTGTTTACATGCGCCTACGTTTTGGGACAATTTTTGTGAAACAATCTTGACATTGTTAGTCGGGGCTAAAAATCTGAGCAGCTGCATGAATCTTTTTGGTTTTGTTTTATAGGTGAATTGTGTCAATTTTTGTATTTTTTTAATGATGAGGGAATATTTAAAGTACTTTTCATATTTTATTTTGTGCTGTCGAATATATATTTTTTAATTACCGGGTAATAAAAATATCAAGAATTTCAATTTGTACGTTTTGCAATGCATTATTCCACTGTTTTCGTTGATGCTTTAAGTTTTTGCCATTATATCGTTTCAATGTCAAGGTAATTGAGTATCGAAATTAGAAACTGGGAACGTGACATCACTCCTGGCAAAACAGCTGGCAAATGAAGACAGGCTTCAGCACGCTTGCTTGCCCGCCCAACACACCCGCGCATGGCCCTGTTCAGGATAAGCAGTGTTGAAAATGGATTGATGGATGGATAGCATGATGTCGTCTTCGAGCTGACTAGCCTTTACGTTTAGCTAAATGACTCATAGAGAACTCAAGCAAACATTTTACACATACCTGCTATGAGAAAATACCTTCCTCAGACCTGCTATATGTACATTTGGTTCCCTGTCCATCCTTTTTACAAGTCGCAATTGCACTTCTAAGCACTCTTGTCATTGTCTGTATACAACTACAGCCGACAATAGACCGCAGTTCAAGTCATTGAGTCAGTAGTCAGTCAGTTTTTGGCATCAGGTGGAATCATGGTGCCTATTGTTAAAAAAAAAAAAAAATAGAAAAGGTCATATTTTATCTGCATTATACCAACCTGCCCCGTCGGGAGGCTGTGACATATTTGTCCCCCTCTCCAGACTCACCTTGAACATCCGAAGTGACACAACTCACAAAGAATGTGGAACTCTCTGGGACAAAGTATGGAAAATCAATCCGGAATTAGCTTTTATTTTATTTATTTTATTTATTTGACCTATATATGGAAAATGGTACAAAAGCCAGGTGACGAGATGGTTCAGAGAAACTTGAGGACTTTACGGCAAATTCGAAATGACAAGGGGCAGTTTTAAGTATATAAAACAATGAAATTATTAATGCGGAATCGTATTTCAAATCGAGGTGAATGACAACTAAAACGTATCGACCGCACACACTTACCGAGCAGTTGGAGCGTCGCTTTTTAGACCCGCGTAGAAACATGACCAGGGGGTGCGTTTAAAAAATGCAATCGAGTATCCGGCCAGATGAGGTCAAAGGGACGACATAAACGTCCCAATTTTCTATCTGTGTTATAGACTACATTATGTTACCACCAAACTACGTCGAAGTCTCAGAACGTCTTCGGCTAACAACTTCGGCAACTAACAAGCTCGCGTGACTCAGAAAGAACAACTTACTGCGACCTTTCAAAGTCAAATAGAGCAAAACGAGATTTACTAATTACGCAAAGAAACTCAAATAAAGAAAGCTTTCACGCCAAAGTAATAAATTCAGCGTTCTATTTAGATTTTAATAGACGCACTAAAAGATTAAATTGTGTCCGTTAACATGAACTCTTACTTTTATTTTGAATGTTTGACTCCCTCAGTGTTGGCATACGAAGTCGAAGTTCCTGTGAACTTGACTTACCTCCAGCTTTACCTTGAGAATGAGAGGCGTGTACTCGCGGTGTTGTTGGCACAGGGACACAAGAAGGGCGACTACTTTTACACGCCACCACTCGTGTGAAAACAAGCTTTCACACATCATTGACATTTTTGACAAAAGCATGAATCTTCCTTATTAACTTTAAATCCTGCAGATATTTTTCCGAGGAAAAAACTCACCGTACTTAAGCTTAGTCACACATCGTAGAAAGGCGATGTTCAATAGCAAACAAGAAGCAGCACTATATGAAATTTATGTCGGTGCAGCTCAACTCCCCAATAACAATCTCGCGCATCTAGAATCAAATGAGCTCGGTGTTAATTGCTCAATAGTTAGTCGTCGGCAGCCATCTACTGGCTATCTGGTACAACGCAAGTGAAACGCAAAAGTAGTTAGTTACCCAATAACACTTTTTGATCTTGGCCAATGAAATAAAGCATCAGTGAAATTAAAAATGTTAAATCTTCACGTTATTAAGTGAAGTCATGAAATCCGTTTTTTTTTTTTTTGTTTTTTACCCACAGGTACAGATGATGACTGACAGAACCCTTTCTACGATGGAACTTTCCTGTACGACTGAGAGCCTCCACAAGCAGCTTAGTCACACACAAATCAAGGACGATGTATTATAGCAAACAAGCAGCAGCACTATATGAAATTTATGTCGGTGCAGCTCAACTCCCCAATAACAATCTCGCGCATCTAGAATCAAATGAGCTCGGTGTTAATTGCTCAATAGTTAGTCGTCGGCAGCCATCTACTGGCTATCTGGTACAACGCAAGTGAAACGCAAAAGTAGTTAGTTACCCAATAACACTTTTTGATCTTGGCCAATGAAATAAAGCATCAGTGAAATTAAAAATGTTAAATCTTCACGTTATTAAGTGAAGTCATGAAATCCAAAATGACCAGTTACATCCAATCAACATTAAGCGTATATTCGTGATTTTAAAAGTATTCACATGCATACGTTTATCTGTAGTTTTCTTTCATATTTTCATTGTACTAGCCCAGTGGTTCTCAAACCTTTGACACCAAAATGCCACCTAGAAATCTTCTCGAGTACCACCGTAGTAATCATCATGAAAAGTTGAATACAACAGAGCTGTACTGAAATGAAAGGGAGGGAGCGAGCGAGAGTGACAGCCATTATAACTTGGACAGGCCCAACATTTAATTATGTGATTATTTCGCCTACCACGACAGGGAGGACCACACCTGGGGAACCGCTGTGCTAGCCTTTAAATACATTAACAATAATTAAAAAATCATCATCATAGGTAAAATAAAACTCCATGTTAAACAACAAGTGCAAGATACATCATGGTGTCTTATACTTTCAGATCCGAATTTTAAAAAAGACCAGTGAAACAGTCCTTGTAATGATGGCTTTTATTTCCCAAAGCTAAAGTTGCTTTAGACTGTGAAATTTCATTTGTAAAGCACATTAGAAAGCAAAATGGCTGTGTTTTAATTTTTGCTTTTTTTTGACAAACTGACAACCAGGAAGTTGAAGTTGAGGAAACTGATAAAAAAAAATATATTAATGAATGATGAAATCAGACATACATGCACACACTAATATGTGTGTGTGTGTGTGTGTGTGTGTGTGTGTGTATATATATATATATATATATATATATATATATATATATATGAAGAACGCAAGGTTATGGAGCTGGGCTGGATTCAAACGTATTTGCAATTAAACACAAGGGATGTTTATGATAACACGGAACCACGCAGTAACACTATGACACACAAGAATGATATTTTATGGTGAGTGGATGTCAGCAGTTCAAATAAAAAAGATCAAATGGCTAAAATAAAAATTACTAGACCCAAGCAGGTAGATGACTTCAAGTGTCTCAGATTGTGGAATCTCAAATGACCATACAGGCACTTGGACACACAGTAAAGGACATCAATTATGAACAGACTGAATGACTCGTGTAAAAAAAAAAAAGGAAAAACCTCAAAACACACAAAGCTGGTCATTATGATGTTAAATAATGTTTAAGGCAACCATACACAGTTAAAAATGGCTACTACTAACTACAGTAGACAAAAGTGGAAATTGACGAGACGGGTTGCTGGAGGACAGCTGGGGCCGACCTTTGGCACGGCCTATCAATTACGTTTCCCTTTATAGCTGATGATACAATGTTGAGTTTTGGGCTTGCAATGGACATTCCTGCCGCAGTTGATGCGTGGGCACAGATGTGTGTCGCCTCGTCATCGCCATGGTCATTCTCCATTAAGGCGGGTTGCACATAAAAAAAAAAAAATCAGTTGTTGACACGGATTTGAACTTTGACCTGTTCCTTTGAATGTCCTTTGTCCCATCCCCTCTTCTGCCTTCCTCTTGTTGTTCCGCTGCATGCCCAACAGAGGCACACGCACGTTGGCATGCTCAGACTCTGTCATCTAAGAAAAAAAGTGAAATAAGATATATTATGACACATATATTTTTAAGAGCATATTCATATGCTGGATTTACACTAAATAGGTCTGACTGTCTACTTGACATTTTAGTGCCATATCCATTTACCGTTCATGAGCATGTACAGATATTTTCAAGTGGCATGTATCAAGACATATGAAACATGCCCATACATCAAACGCAATGGTTCTAAAACTGGAGTCCGTCATATATGGCATATTTATTGCCAATTATTTTCCTCCTTGATAAGTGTATCAGAGGATTGGATGGATTATAAAAGATGGATTATTTTAAGTACATGACACCAATTACTCCTGTCTAACTTCAACACGGGCCAATTAAAAGCTATGGATAAATCTGACATGCATAGCTACCGACGATGGATAAATATTTAATTTTTTCATTTGGATACATTCCTTTCTCCTAAACAGGTTGTGCAAATCTTGGTTGAAAGGTTCAGACCCCCCCCTCCCAAAAAAAAAAAACAACCCAAAAAAAACAATTCCACTGGTAATTAGGACTAGACATGGTACAGTAGATCACCGCTATTCTCAACAGCAAAGATCCATAAATAAGTGACTGTCCGAATGATTTCCTAAAATAAATAATTAAATGAAAATGTTTATTTCGGCCCCCTCCCCCCCCCAAAAAAGCAAATAATCATCTATGACTACTGCTTCAAACAAGTCATATGCAGAAATAGTTGGTACGATTGTAGCCTTCGCCATGGTTTATGTGATGTGTTCTGTTGTATTATTTTTATTTCATGTTAAATGCTCTGCAAGGCGCCCTGGTGGTCAACTGGTTAGCACGTCGGCCTCACAGTGCAGAGGTGCAGGGTTCGATTCCAGCTCCGGCCTTCCTGCGTGCCTGCGTGATTTCTCTCCGGATACTGCGTTTTCCTCCCACATTCCACAAACATGCATGGCAGGCTGATTGAACACTTTAAATTGTCCCTAGCTGTGATCGTGAGTGCGAATGGTTGTTTGTCTAGGTGTGCCCTGCAATTGGCTGGCTAGGTGTGCCCTGCAATTGGCTGGCAACCAGTTCAGGGTTATCCGCCTACTGCCCAACAGCTGGGATAGGCTCCAGCATGCCCCGCGATCCTTGTGAGGATAAGCAGATCAGAAAATGGGATGTTCCTCCTTGATAAGTGTATCAGAGGATTGGATGGATTATAAAAGATGGATTATTTTAAGTACATGACACCAATTACTCCTGTCTAACTTCAACACGGGCCAATTAAAAGCTATGGATAAATCTGACATGCATAGCTACCGACGATGGATAAATATTTAATTTTTTCATTTGGATACATTCCTTTCTCCTAAACAGGTTGTGCAAATCTTGGTTGAAAGGTTCAGCCCCCCCCCTCCCAAAAAAAAAAAACAGCCCAAAAAAAACAATTCCACTGGTAATTAGGACTAGACATGGTACAGTAGATCACCGCTATTCTCAACAGCAAAGATCCATAAATAAGTGACTGTCCGAATGATTTCCTAAAATAAATAATTAAATGAAAATGTTTATTTCGGCCCCCTCCCCCCCAAAAAAAGCAAATAACCATCTATGACTACTGCTTCAAACAAGTCATATGCAGAAATAGTTGGTACGATTGTAGCCTTCGCCATGGTTTATGTGATGTGTTCTGTTGTATTATTTTTATTTCATGTTAAATGCTCTGCAAGGCGCCCTGGTGGTCAACTGGTTAGCACGTCGGCCTCACAGTGCAGAGGTGCAGGGTTCGATTCCAGCTCCGGCCTTCCTGCGTGCCTGCGTGATTTCTCTCCGGATACTGCGTTTTCCTCCCACATTCCACAAACATGCATGGCAGGCTGATTGAACACTTTAAATTGTCCCTAGCTGTGATCGTGAGTGCGAATGGTTGTTTGTCTAGGTGTGCCCTGCAATTGGCTGGCTAGGTGTGCCCTGCAATTGGCTGGCAACCAGTTCAGGGTTATCCGCCTACTGCCCAACAGCTGGGATAGGCTCCAGCATGCCCCGCGATCCTTGTGAGGATAAGCAGATCAGAAAATGGGATGGATGTTTTTGCAAAGCGCTTTGTTACAGCTGTAGCTGTTGTGAAAGCGCAATATAAATCAAGATGTATTGTATTGGCAATTACAAACCTTATGGGAGGGGCGGGGGGGTGTTACTCCCAAATTTTCGGTAATAATGGCAGAGCTCTGTCTGTATTTTGGACAATGTCAGAATGCCAACAACAACAAGAACAATAACGGTGCTAATTCAATGAGACGTTGACAGAGTGAGTCGGTCCAATCAGTCCGTTTACACTGCAATCACATTGGCATTAGCTTTGATCCACATTTTTATCCATGAGGCCTGAATCTGACAGTGTTAAATACGGACAGTTTGCATTAACCATTGAGTGCAAATCCAGGGATAAGAGTTTCAAAATGAATGGTGCTCCCTCTCACCGGTGGCGGCTGCAGTGTGCTGCCTAGTGCTCTTGATTTGCAAGAAGATCGTGTATGTGTCGTAGGCGAACAGCAGACCGGCAATCAAGCCAAAAACCTGAAACAGAAAAATGCATTCAATTAAAAAAAACAAAAACAAACAAAAAAGCCCCACAAAAAACATCAACCCCCATCTATTTGTGGTTTGCTATTTTGAAATTCACCAGTTTCTGACGTATTTTTGTGCTCTTTCTGAAATGTAAGTTGCAAGTGCTATCAAGGAAGTATGCGAAATTGATAGTTCTCAACTGTTTTAGATCTTTGTTCGTCAAGGGAGGAGCCAGGTTTAGGCCCAATCATTAATGGAAGTTATGGAGAGTTTTCACTTCATGTGTATGTTTTTGCTCTGCTGATTGGCTACTGGTATATATTTAAAACAAACAAACCAACAAACATACAACGGAGTCATTGCTTGACATTTGCTATTTTTCGCATTGCTCAGGAGAGATGCATGCACTCTTGTTGTGCATTTTTTGGGTGAGCGGGGAGGACTGAGCAGCAACTGCTGTGATTCATATGATCATCTTTATACTTTGAATGTTTCATCTAAACATGTTTAAGATGAAAAGTTATTGAAACCTTTTTATTTTGTCGCATGCTCTTGTCATAGCGAAGTGCTGTTCCCAAAGAAAAACGATGTTGATTTTTGAAGGTTTAAACCTGTGCAAAAGAAAAAAAAAAAAAAACTTTGCACACACATCAGACCTGACGTCAAAATTTATATTTTTGAGATTTGTTGTGCGATTTTCCAAAATGGCCCTACAGCCTCAGAGCGCCCTGGACAGATATTTAACCAAGTATCCCCGGTTGTATGTTTCACCTAGATCTGTGAAAATTGAGCGAAATATCTAACAGCCCAAGGCCAACAAATAAAGTATTTCGGAGCCAAACCTAAACTGGAAGCCCGCCATTTGGAATTGGGCGCCAAGAGGCATTTTATAGAATTCATATTTGACCAATGTATCTTTTAATCTCATGTCCATCATTTTCAAAAAAAATCTAATTCCAGTGTGCCAACATTGCCAGGGCTCCAAGGGCCCTTTATAGCTGCTTGCAGCTCTCCTTGATTCCTTTTTTCAAAATCCAATCTGCAAGTTATTTAATGTGAAGGGCAATGTTGTAAAATGAGTTTGAAATGATGTTACTCAACTCTTAATTTTATTCATGGAGCGTTCTAAAAACAACCTCAACAAAAACTAGTGCTGGACAAAAATACAAATCAAACCTTAAACATTCAGCGATTGAACATATAGAAATACACAAAAACAAGGGTAGAGTCTAATGCTGTGTTGAACGCCAAGCAACTCCATTTCGAGATTTGAAAACAAACATCGTGAACTCTTCAGGTGCAGCCAGTTCAGGGAGTTTTCTGCTCCCATTCACGTGTTCCCGTTAAGAGGCCAGCAGAATCAAATGGTTATGTTTGAGGGAGGGCTTGTGGACCCCAAAGTTGTTACGGTCATGATATTAGAATGTTTGGGGTTCATCGTTTGTTATGGAATCTGCACTTTTAAAAGACTTTCATTGGAGGGGGGAATAATGACGCACAATTTTACAGGAGTCACAGTAAATAGTGGCGACCTGACACAATGGTCTTGATATGACTTTAGTGTATTTTGTATTACTCAGCGATATATTTTAACTTTTTGGGTGATAACTAAAATATGTAATTATTCCTTAATTTTGTTTGTTTCCTTGTTTTGTATTACTCAGCGATATATTTTAACTTTTTGGGTGCTAACTAAAATATGTAATTATTCCTTAATTTTGTTAGCGCACACAAGGAATTTGTTCCATCTCTGAGTGTTGTAATATGCGGTAAATAGCCATGACAGCTGACATCTTCACTGCTCATTGCATTCTCTTCGTGAAGGCCGAGCTCAAGTCTTTACACACACACAACCAAAGCTTGTTTGTCGATGTTGTTACACTTGTGACAAAAGCTTGGCTGTTTTTTATTTCTTTAAACAGCTCCTGAGCTTTGTTGAAATACTCGCTTGGGTTATTACTTCATTGCCATGACAGTGAGTCATGTGCAGCAGCCCGCCCATTTAATCACCCTGACAAATGTCAAGACAAGCGTTGTAGCTAGCCTGCATTTGTATTCAACATGTCAGGGCTGGGAAAGGTAGAGTGTACTAGCATGCACAAATGACGCTGCCATGGTTACGGAACAATGAAAGTCATTAAAACCTTCCCTGTGGTACAAATAATTCAGGCAAACAGTTTACAGCTTTAAAAAACTGGGAGTTGAGTATCAGGCTGCTTATTACACAGCCAAACATTATTCAGTTCAATTCCGAAATGGCAGACCTAAACATGCAGCTGTCAATTATGTGACCATTATTTAGTTCCCATTCTGTATTCATTCAGAAAGGGAGTGTCATGTTTTGCATGGTGGTAGTTGTTGGGAGTAGTGATGTGCCCGACTGTGCCGAGGTACCGATGCGTGTGCCGAGTAAACCGGAAGAAAATCCGCGAAGCGCGCACCGAGGCGCGTGTCGATTACGCTTGTGGCCACGCCCGATACCTCGGAACGCGCGTTGCTCCGCCCGAAGCCTCAGTTGGGAGGACCCCAAAAAGCAGGGAGGCACAAGGTGGAGTGACCAGAAGTACACAGGAGAAACTAACTCAAAAACTCACTCAAATAAAGTCCAGAGAATCGCAGGAACCAAAGTAGCAAAAAAAAAACCTAAGACTGAAAACAAAACATGGAACGTGCACACAGCAACAATGACCCGACACTGAGTGGTAGGGCATCAAGTCTTTTAAAGTGGCAACTAATGACAATGACCAACAGGTGTGCAGCTGCAGGCGGAGCCCTACAGTGCCACCTGTTGGTCACAAACAGATCCATGACAGGGAGGACCTACAGTATGTGTTATGTCGGACCTCTTAACACGTCTTGGTGAGACAAAGTAATCTAACACTCAGAATCTACACTGACGCTTACAAAGCTTTAAAAAAACCCAAAAACAAAACATCAACTAGGAGTGAGCAAACTAATCAATCAAATTGGATTTTTTATTTATTGTTGGGAAATAATTTTGAAAGCAAGGAGTGAATTACAAGTACTTGTGTTGTTCATTCAATTCCCCCGCATAGGCCAATCTAAAGTTGAATTCTGTACTCATTACCGTAATCAATAAAAGAAGAGAAATGAAATTCTGAACAGCAAAATCTAATGCAAGACTCCCTGGGTCCAGCAACGAGACACTGATGCATTTGTGGCGATCTTTGCAGACAGGTGACACACCATCACTCGCTGGATTGTTGTTGTTTTTTAATTTTTTTTTCAGAATTTTTGCACGAATGAATTTTTATGAAAAGAATACTAAGTGACTTTAATGTCACTTTACAACAAAGTTAGCAAATTTGAATCAGGTGTGTTGTTGCCTGGAGAGTCAGTCTTGGTGCGGGAGAACTTTTGTCAGCGTGTGCTTTCAAAAGAGAGTTATGTCAGGGAAAGGCTGAGCTTGGGCTGGCAGGGACCCCGGGAAAGACCAGCTCAAAATCGTTGGTCCCGTCCTATCCTCCGTGTTCAACACCTCAGTGCCAAAAAGTTGTCAGAGTCCAACAGGCAAAAATGCAGCAGTACCGCTCATAAAGAATTGATTCTCCATCTCAGAGCAACAAAATGCGGAGCATCTTTCGAGAGGGACTGAAGAACAGTGGGCAAACACGAGTGAGTTTATGATGTCATTTTGGAGAATCCCTCTTTCTCTGATTGGCCATTCGTGGATGGGATGTTTTGTAATCGTGTACGACAATGGCCATTTCTGGCCAGTCTGTCTTAAGTTTTGAAGCAAAAGAATATCTAAGACCTGCGATTGGCTGGCAACTGGTTGAGGGTGTCCCCCGCCTACTGCCCGAAGACAGCTGGGATAGGCTCCAGCACCCCCCGCGACCCGAGTGAGGATAATAGCGGTTCGGAAAATGAATGAATGAATGAATAATTATCTAAGACAAAGGTAAATAAATGTGAATCATTGTGTTTACTGATGATTGATTATTTCTTTCTCTGTGATCTTCCTCCCTCTGCAGACTGGCCTGATCAAGTGAAGTCGCACATTCCTAAGATCGACATAAACCTTCATGTTTTACAACAAGTCTGATGACACTGTAACTTCATCACAAAATATATATGAATGAGTCCTAACATTTAAATAAAGGGTGGAAGATTCACCAAAGAAATCAAATTGACAGCACAAGGGGTCAATCATTGAAATCGGCCAATGAGCTCTGGGATTCATCCATGCGCGTAGGGCCCAAGAGAGAACAATACACAGATTGTGCTACGTGAGGGCGCATTGTATTTGCCCGACTTGTTGTTGTTTTCATTTTATTTCGAACACCAAACACGGCTTAAAAGCTGAACAAGCGCTGGAAATACCTCAGAAGGAGAGTCGTACTAAAATCAGTCCGATCAACTTGTCGTCTCGCCTAGTTTTTTGTCTACTAAAAACTTTACCTTGGTTGAATTTACCATCGGTGTCAATCAGCTGCAATAGCATGAGTAGAAATGGGATTTTTGAGGACATACGTTTTTGTCCAAGTTCCATCTTCATTTCAACTTTTTGTTTTCTTTCAATTTCAACAAAGCCTGCCCTACATCTCACGTATGATGACCGGATGAGGGCAAAGATTTTTAAAAAAGTCTTTCTTTGTGAGGGAAGAAAAAAGATTCACAAGCGTATGTAAGAAGTATTATGAGAATAAAATTACACTGTAATCATTCAAATATCAAAATAAAATTTTGAAAATAGAGCAGGGTGTTTGCAGCCGTACTTAGCCCACCACTGATGTAGATGCTAAGCGTATGAATGGTAAAATTCACAACAGATGTATGGTCTATAAACTGACCAATTGATTTTGCAGAAAGTCCACTGGGCCTGATGCAGGAGGTCACACAACTAAATCATTACACAGGTTGGCAGCCTTTTGGAAAACATTGTTTTCTTTATGGCTGACAAACATTGAATACATGCACAGAATAGCATTTAACACGAAACAAGCCCAAATATTTGAGGAGGACATCTTTCATCGATTCATTTTTCTCCGTTTCATTTTCGCAAAATGCCGCAGGGCTCAAACAAGGATCAAACCATATTTTCCAATAATCTAAAATGTATATATTACGCAAAGGTTTGAAAACGTCCGCATGGATGACAACCGTCGTGTTCACTGACCCCGCCTGCGATGCGAGCGCCGTCGCCAGCTCCTCCAATCACGCACACCAGTGAAGTGATGATGTAAAGGAGTGCGCCAATGCCGGCCCGGAACAGATCCTGAGCAATAAAGCAAAAGCGTAAAGGGATTTTTTTTGCACAGGCCGACCGCAACGGCGTCACATGCTTGGCACTCACGCTCCACATCCAGTTGACCAGCTGGAACTGCTTGTCCAGATCCATCATGAAGATGCCGAAGAAGACCATGGCGAAGATCATCTCGCAGATGGCCACGGCCGAGTAGCCTCCATACCGGGACGCCGCGTAGCAGATGATGATGATGAAGCTGATGAGCTGTGGGGCGTGGGGCAAGGACAACCACACTCATCAGTGGTTAGTACACTTTGTGCAATCCTATAAAATAAAGAAAACTTGGTTCTCCAAGAACAGTACTTTGGCTTACAAGTGACCGACAAATTTGTCAAGATGTGAGCTGCTGCTGAGTTGATTTTTTTTGAGATAGAAGAGTTAGTTGGTGACAGCCAACTCATGTCAATTCAGTTTGGCAGACAGAGAACAATTCTTGAGCTGTTTGCTCTCAAACCAAACACAAAACAAAGTACTCCACGTTTTATTTAACTGCACCACATAATTTACAGAGGTTTAAAGGGAATATCAAGGCAAAATATTTTCTTTGCAATAATATGTTGTATGTGCCCCCAACACGGTATTCTGATTAATCTTGCATTTGTGGAATAATAATTAATAAAATTCATCCATTGGTTTACATCTATCTCCGGGGGCGGTCATTTTGTCCTATACTGCCTTCCGACCTTCAGTTAGCTTGTGTATAAATATCTCAGCCTTGCCTTAGCTTCTGCAGTCGACCGAAAGTGACATCAAACTGCCCTCAGGCTCAAACTGCAAACATCGCAGCTCGCCTGGCTTCGGTCTGGTGACGTTGTCAATGCAAGTCCGAGGGTAGTTTATTGTCAATTTCAGTCGACAGCAGAGGGCAGTATAGCACCTAATTGCAGGACCCTAAAATTGATATAAACAGATAACTTGCCGGTATTCTGCTTTATTCTCATGATTACTGCAGCTTGCTAAACAGCTGATAGTCTTTCTGGTTTATATATTATACTGCCCCCTGGTGTTAGAGGGGCGCAGAACAGAAGGAGCGGCACAATGAATTAATCCTAAAACATTTAATTTGATTACAATTTAATGATGTTATTCCTGTCTGTTTTAAGTACAAAACTGTCAAACGGCATTTTCATTTTAAGAAACATGCTATACACATTTTTGTCTGGGTTTTGCTGGGTGATGGAATGGATTAATGGCATTTCCATTCACTTAAATTGGGAAAGATGATCTGAGATGAGTTTTTGATTTACAAGCACGGTCATAGAAGAAACAATGTACCAATGTATCACCAGAACGCCAACATTGAACAAGTGTTCATCGACAACAAGTCGAGGTTTGATACCAAAAAATTAATGAATGTCATGTTAGAACATGCAAAAAAAAAAAAAAAAAACCTACACTCAGGGATTAAATTCAAAAAAGGAATTCCACATAAAAGTTCCAAAAAAATTGTTTTAAAACAAAAAGTTCTTCAAGATGAAGTGTACTGTATGCAGTGATTCTTCGGTGTACTACAAGAGGAAGCCCGCACGCCCCACGTTGAGAATCGTGCTCTCTGTCAGAGGAGTTCCCACAAGCATGAGAATATTTCAGAATACTCTGACCCACATCTTAGGTCAAAGCTCATATTTTTCCATATGAGGGAAAAAGAAGGCCCGCATTCTTTTCAATCCGTGCCCCGAAAGTGCTGCCAGTTTGGAAAGAAAATAATCATAACTCACACACAGACGGCTGCCTACAATTGGCCCGCTTTGAATCTAGCTATTGTCAAACGGCGTGGGTGCATGCATTCAAACATTAGCCAACGCTTACAAGCCTTTTAAAACGTCACCATTTCATGACTTGAGCAGAGCTAAATTCTTTGTTCTTGAAATTTACTCACAGAATACATTTTTTTTAATATTAAAATATGTTAGCAAGCCATAAACTAGTAAACTTTCAACCCTTTCAGACAAAAGGTCATATTTGGTAACGGTGTTGGAAAACAACCGTAAATAACGTTTTTCTGAAATTATACGTCAATCAATAAAAGTTTGTGCTTTTTGTTGTTGTTTTTTTTTTTTTTTTCAATGGAATTCTTCATCGTGTGCAGATTCATAAAGTTGAAATTTTGCCACTTGCCGTCAACCGAAAATGACACTGCAGTTGCTCGGGGCTCTGGCCTCGACAAATCGCGACTCACCTCTTTTCTGAGTTTGGTCACATGATGTTTGCAAATTTAACTTTAAATTGAATAAAAATAATCCCAGTGTATATAAAGAAAAGTCTGATGATACATCAGTGACATTGCAAAGATGAAATACATCATTTTCTGCATCAAAAAATGATGACTTTATTTTTAATTAATCTAAAGGTTTGGCAAAAAGTTCTTTGATATACAGAGGAAGCACAACAGCAGGCTACGGTAATGTGAAAATATACAAGTTGAATAATGTATATATTTTATTGAAGAGAATGTTGAATAGTGTTCAGATATATGAAGCACTTTATCAAAAGGATTTGTTTACATTGATGTTTTAATGCATAATCAGATCATTCCGATAAGTACTGTACATTTTGGAATCAGTAAAGCTGAGTTAGTTAGTTTCAAAACAAAATCCAATGAAAAAAACGCCTCCATTTTGAGTTACCTTGAATTAGCATAGGTATATTTACAGAAAAGCCATCGTTACTGTATCAAAACATTGTAGCGAAATCGCTGTTATTGTATCGAATTGTATTGTTTGAAAAATAGTGATATCACTTTATGTTGAACCGTTAGGCCCTATATCAATACGTATCAGTCAAAGAATGTATCCTTACACCCCCTAGTATATAAATACACACATGTTAAGTGATATGTGCCATCCCAAGATGACTTTGGCACCGCCACTGCTCGACATGCGCACACGCATGCACGTGCGCATTGCACGCGCACGCAGCCACACTTGTTCAGATGTTCTCCGACTGGCACAGGCTGCCTCAGTGGAGGGACAGGGAGTACTTCAGGTCCTACGTAGCCCCACACAAAAGAGGCTCTATTCCGAGCTGCTGTGACCGAGCCGCTCGGCTACAAGACTGCCTTGGAACAAGGGCGCCTCTGAGAAACGCTGACACCTTCATGCTGCCAGCGCAGCCGCACATCTGTTGGCGCGGAGCCCGTTTGAAAAGGTCCATCCAAGCGTCATCGGAATAATGAGCCGTGTTTTTTTCACAGTGACCGGAGGGGCGCTGCAGTAAATGGTGGGCTAAATATAGTCAGAGATATATGTGAGTCAAGGGCTGCTCCTCAAACAGCAACGGTTACTAGGGAAGTCACTTATAGGGTGGTACCACCCACTCACTCGCCCCTTCAACTATTACAGCAGCTCACGAAAGAGAACACCACATGTTCAGCACAAAATGGAAAGTTCCGTTCCATCGATGAGTCACTGACGACAAAAAAAATATATATATATATTCTGTTATGTTTCAATGAGGAAGTCCGGCGAAGCATTTGGTTAGCGCTTCTGTCACACTTATGAAGTTCGGGTTAGAATCCGGTCTTCCTGTGGTGAATTTGCAAGTTGAGGCTGAAATTTGATTGGACAAAAATCTAACATCCATACCCACACACACTGGAAGAAGTGCAGCCAATAGAAACACTACCAAATAAAGAATACACAGAAAAATAAAAGAATACAATTTCATGGCACAAATATTCGAATTTAGTTGAGTGCCTCTGATGGTGTCCACCCACCACTGATTCATAGACCCAGTAACAGGGTGTGATATCTTTCTTCCGGCTCTTGAATCCGCTTCCCACAATGCACACTATCTTGGCCATCCACCACTGAAGATTACTTCCTTGAGCACTTAGCTCACATGGATGATTGGATGAGGGCGGAATAAACAAAAGCGGTGCGACTTGTGACTTTGCCAAGAGCTGCTTCTTTATTCCCCAGCCGTCACTCCTCACCTGGCAAGGAATGTGTGCCTTTAATGTCGGTGGAAGACTGCGCGCCTGCATCTCAGAGCCTCTTTTATAAGCTACTTGACTTATGAGCGTGGAGGGAGGGAAAGGCGGGTGTTGGAGGGCACTTTACGATCAGCAACTTCTCACTGGAGGAAGATTCTTCCCTTTCTATTTCCAGCAACTAACAAGCCGCCGCGAGATGGCTGATCAGACTGCACAGCTGTGGTGACAAGATGATGAGTCGCAAACAAGGGCGATGATGCGCAACCCTCGAAAAGTGAACTCATCACTTTCCGTAAAGGAGTTCCATCTTTTTCACTTTCTGCCATGGCACCGAGCAGGTGGTAAGTGGAAAGGCTTTTTACACCGGGCTGAGTTGTGACCCTCTGTGTGCCATAAACGTTCTCAGCATTTGGCTCTTTGGTGCCACATGAGAGAGCAGAGGCGGCACAAGTGACAGGTGAAGACCCTTGACCTCTGTTCGTAAGCCTTCAAACCCCACACCACATGCTTTTCATTCCACGCTTACCACAGCGAGGGGGAAAATAGGCAGAATTTTGTTTTCAAATGAACACACGCAGCAGCTCAGCCCTGACTTTGAACAAGCTTGAGAATCAGGATTCTTGTAAATAAATGTTGAGTACGTTTGACACACCACAGACAGCACAGACAACCCCACCAAATTTCAATGATTAAAAAAAATGATAGTAAAAAAACAAATCACCATGTATACAGTATAAAATGAGGCTTCCAAATCGCAAAAAATCAAACTGTTCTTTTCGCTGTGGGCATCGCCTGCTAAATGCACTGAAACCACACAAATTCAACTTCCTCAATTTGGAAAAATGGATGACACTTCATGTATCATCTTTATGATGCTGAAAAAAGAACTCCACATTTGAGGCGCCAAAATATGCATCATGTATTCAGAAACAAATCTATGAATTCAAAGATCTGGAACCAGAAAATAAAACAGTAAAATTGCCTTATGGCCAACTGCAGTTTCCATTAAATAAAAAGGTAAAATATGATATGAACTGCATCGCAAGCTAAAATGCAAACTGGTTAATAACGCCTTTTAGCACGACAAAAGCGTCTAGCCAATAGAGGTGAATGAAGTGGAAAGTGTGCTTCAATATAAATGAAAGAGAATTGAAATTTGATTTGGGAATTACACAAAAAGTCTGTCTACTCATCAATTGTGAAAAATGATCAACCCAGTAAATATTTTGTTAGCTGCTTATTTCTCGAAAATATGTCTGAGAAGCGCGACTGGTTAGCACGCTGGCCTAATAGTGCAAAGGTCCAGGGTTTGATTCCAGCTCTGGCCTTCCTGTGTGGAGTTTGCATGTTTTCCCTGTGCCTGTGTGTGCCTGCATGTTTTCTCCGGGTACTCCGGTTTCCTCCCACATACCAAAAACATGCATGGCAGGTTAAAGGAACACTCTAAATTGTCCCTAGGTGTGATTGATTTTATTTTATTTTTTTTCAAGATGGCGCCTGAGTAGACAGCCTTTGGCAAGTGCTCTTCAAGAGCCTTGCGTTTTTTGTTGTTTTTGTCTTTTGTTTGTCACATGGTGGTGTTGTTACGTCGTGTGGACCTGATGTGGACTGTTTTCAGCATTTTTGGCCACGACATTCGTCAAAGAAGAAGAATCTGTGCTTGGTGGTTGCGCCTTCTCGGCGGCACGCGTGTACCAGCACTGATTTTGATTGGGAGGAATGTCGACGCCATTTGACTGTCGTTGCTGGACAGCTCCGGGGCGCTTGTGTCTTGCGCCTGAAATAGGCAGCATTTTCATAGCCCCCCTTTGTTCAGCGAAAAGGTCGATGCTGATGGACAGTCTGCAGCTGGATGGATGCATGGCTTGAGGAGCCGACGATGAGAAAAAAGGAGCATCAGCGCAGAGCGCCAATGCGTATGTAGAACTGGGAGTCGCGGCTTGGAATTGAAGCGGATTTACATGGGACAGGAGAAGAGAGCCAATCTCTTTTTCGTTAATGGATGCTGTTGCTTTCAAGCTTAGCTTGTAGCAGACGTGTGCACATTCAGCATGACGTCTTTGATCCACTGGTGAAAGGATATTTTGATTCGCTCCTCTTTCATCTGTAACTACTTCAGACAACAAAGTGTATGCAGGAAAGTGGTTAAGATTGCACGATTGTCTCTGTCTAGTGTGTTGTCTTGTATTATTTTGTCATTTTATGTTAACTTTTCTTTTGATGGCGGCGCGGGCACCCGCAGCGGCTCCTCTTGTTGTATGCTGTCTGTTTAAGAGGGAGGAAATTTCATCTGTGCTGCAGCACATTTGACAATAAAGTCGTACTTGACTTGACTTGACTTGATTGTGAGCGTGAATGGTTGTTCATCTCCGTGTGCCTGGCGATTGGCTGGCAACCGGTTCAAGGTCTATCCCGCCTACTGCCCGAAGACAGCTGGGATAGGCTCCAGCATGCCCGCGACCCTTGTGAGGATTAGCGGATTAAGTCACTAATGTCATCTTGACATGTTAGGTTGGAAAAATGGATGGATGGATGGTGTCTGAGAAGCAAGCCCCTTGATTGCTTAGGCACAAATTCGCTAATTAACATTTCAGCATCCACAAACAGACTTTCCACTGCATGCTTGCCATGCACGGATCCACCATGCTCCCCCCATGAGAGAAAACAATCGATCTAGGAATGGGTGCTTGTTTCAATCTTCACACTCGGTTAGTAGTCCACAAGGCTCATTGCAAGGCCCCAGATCCACCCTGGTTGTCATGGTAACAACAGCCACACTCAACAATGGCCCAGCATTACGAGGGCAGAGTGAAGAGTGCAGTTCAGCCAAAGTAGTAAAAGTGTGGTGTAATTCTTCATCCTTTGTGAAATGTAACCCAAGAATGGCAGAGAGAATGCAAAGAATTGTGAGGGGGAGGAGGGGAATGTATGTCTCCATAACACACAGGTGTCAATGTGGCCTCTGAATGCAAATTGGTTTCTTGGTAACAGCGGTACCAAAATTGTACATTATGTCTTCACTTTGTTCAAGCTGATATATCGCAAGCATTTCTTAGCAAATCACTTCAACAATAGTTGGACAAGCTATTATCTGAAAATTCTGATCGCAAAATTATTTATCTATCACTTTCTTGTGAGACGATGAGTCGATGATAATCAGCACTGGAAAAAAATGAATGGACCACTGCAAAATGATCAGTTCAATCTTCCTTGACATGAAAAAAGCGTTTGTCATTTTTTGTTGTCAACCCTCCATGATTATGACACAAGCAAAGCAAGCAGCATTGGTCCTTAAAACGCATCAGTGATTTTAAAGGAGTCTTATTTTTCTTTTGTTCGTCTTGCAGTGCTCTCATAATTCTTCTCCAGCGGTAGATTTGACTGTCAAAAAGAAAACTACCATAGAGACAGCGTCAAAAATGACTTTGACGACCTTGCATTAGGCGGTTAAATTGCGTCCCTGTAACAAAGTCTAGCACATTTAAAAAAAAAATTAAAAAAAACAGGATGAAACACGTAACATGAGGTTGTAGCTTTCTCAAGGACGTCGAAACGTTAAAGGCAGAAGTTCCAAAGAACGCGGCAAGTGGCAACCGCAATCACCCAAAAATGTCTTGTACAGTTCCTCCATTTTAAATGGAGAAGGAAGCGTATTACTAATACGGTGGCATGTAGTAAACAATCCGATCCGAACAGTTACAGAGAGCACTTAAACCAACAATTACTAACAGTTTTCAATCCGACCCTAGAGTTACATCTCATAGTCAACAATCTGATCCCAACAGTTACTGCAAGTAGTCAATCTGATCCTAACATTAGCTGCATAGATCGAAAGGCAATGGGGTGAATCACTTACTATTTCTGCCGCGAGGATACAACCTTTTTGGGTCCTCACGTAACTTTTCAGCTTCTCCAGGCAGCTGGCATCAGAGCTGGACGCTGACGTATCGGCCATTCTTATTCTGAATACTGTAGTTTCAATGAAAGTAAAGCAAAGGCGACGCAAGTTTTAGCGAAGAAGTCCCACGGCGCACCTTTGGTCCCGCACACGAGCTCGCTTGTCTTCGTGCTAGCTGAGTGACAAAAGTAAAACAAGTGTTGGTGAAGTAAATTGATGGAAGTCAGTCAGGAAGAAGCACAGCAGCTACGAAAAAACCCTGCTCGGTAATTGAAAGTTGGGACGAGGGGAGCGAGGCAAGCAAAGGAGAGTAGAGGAGCTGTCTTGTCACTCATTGGGGCGTTGGCTTTCACTTTTCTCCATGAGGAACTGTGCTGCCTTCAATAGCAACTGGGAACTCCCACAATCTCAAATCGGAAACCTCCGTTCCACGTCCTCAGTTTTCAAGAGGCAAAGAATAAATATAAATTACACTTTGACAGCACATTTTTCAATTATATTTTGAAATATGTTACCAAGATGCCCATTGTGTTAATTATCAAGAAAAAAAGGGAAAGAAAAAAAAACGACTTTATGTTAGTACTGCAGCGAGTTGCCTTCAGGTATTCCCTGACCCGTCAGAATGATGAATACTTCGTTGATTGCCTTGACGGATTTCATTAATTCAATCCTTTTCAAATAGTGGGGCGCGCTACCCGAGCGGGGCGTGGTGCGATGCCACGGGGAAGGGACGTGTGACTTTGGGCAACATGCTTTTTTTTTTTTTTGTGGAAGAGAACAGAATAAAGTGTAATTTCACTTCCACTCCAGGTAGTGGCAGTGGCGCCCGCATTGTCAGAGAGTGCGCAGGGGGTATTCGCTCTATTGTATGTTTTTTTTCCTTGTTTTGCTCCGAGCAGGCGATTTGAAGTGCAGTAAACAAAGCTTCGAGACAACATCAAAACGTTTTTAACAGTGATGAAAATAAAGATGGAGAGAGACGAATATAATGAGACAAAAGAAAGTCACCCGAAAGCTAAACCAAGGAAATATGACGAGGCGTATGTAGCGCTTGGCTTCACTCTGTGACTACAGTGGGAGACGAGAAAAGACCGGTGTGTTAACAGTGCCTAAAAATGCTGGCAGCGGACAACATGAAGCCAAATAATTAAATCAAGTCGCCATTTGAAGATATTACCCCTCAATCACGATGAGAAGCTGCTGGAAAAGTTGTGCATTGCAAAGCGTGCTCATTGTAGCCATTAATCCTGACTTCCTCATTTTGATTTAAAAAAAAAAGAAGAAAAGGGAAAATCAGCACAAATTGTTGTATTCATTTTTGGTTTGTAGACTAAAGTGTTTTCTATATTGTGCTCCTGAGTTAATGTTGCTGATCTGAATTTGAATATTTAAGAATCAAATGGTGCAATAAATTGGTCAAAAGTGTTGACAGTTTAAACAAGGATTTTTTTATTTCAGGCAAACTGATGCACTTCAAATAATTTTTGTCACAGACTAAAAACAATGTTAATGAAGTTATTCTTTGCTGTAAGTTGAACTATATTTCTTTCTTTAGTGTTAATAAGTGTACAATGTAATGCGGAGGTGTACTAATAAGCATTTTTAGACAAATGTACTATTTATAGTGGGGGCACAGAGTGGGGGGGGGGCATTAATTTTTTTCCCTCTTGCTAGGGGGTGTGTAACAGAAAATAATTAAGATATTTATAGATTCATCATATCAATACGAATCCAATTAGCTGTTAGGGCATTAACTACATGAAGTTGTATTGTCGTACAGCTTTGAAGGTGGCGTGCGATATTTGCCTCCATGGAAGTTATGATACATAGTTCAAACCAGTAATAGCACATATGACCCGCTCTGTTCTGTAAAACTTAGCATTTACATGATCCAGAGGGCTTCATGTTTGTTGAATTAATTAGTTCGCATATATTTGCTCAATTCAAATGTGTTCATATTATAACCATTTAGCCCCCTTACAATGTCTATAATTGCATATTTTTTGCATCCATTTAAAAAAAAAGTATGTACAGTATTAATATACACACAGTACAAATGTAACTTTTTTTGATGGACTTTTAACATTTGATTTCATTTAACATTTAGACTCTAAGTGATCAATATCTAATAAATAATAACACAATTACAGTGCAGAGGTACTGGGTTCAATTCCAGCTCCGGCTTCCCTGTGCGGAGTTTGCATGTTCTACCCGGGCCCCGCGTGGGGTTTCTTCGGGTACTCCGGTTTCCTCCCACATTCCAAAAAAATGCATGGCAGGTTAATGGAACACTCTAAATCGTGGTGTGAGCGCGGATGGTTGTTCATCTATGTGTGCCCTGCGATTGGCTGGCAACCAGTTCAGGGTGTTCCCCGCCTTCTACCTGAATACAGCTGGGATAGGCTCCAGCACGCCCCACGACCCTTGCAAGGATAAGCGAATCAGAAAATGGATGGATGGTTAGATGGAAATGTGATATGCATGGCAGGCTGATTGAACACTCTAAATTGTCCCTAGGTGTGAGTGTGAATGTGGATGGTTGTTCGTCTGTGTGTGCCCTGTGATTGGCTGGCAACCGGTTCAGGGTGTCCCTCGCCTACTGCCCGAAGACAGCTGGTATAGGCTCCAGCAACCCCCTCGACCTTTGTGAGGATAAAGCGGATCGGAAAATGGATAGATAACACAATTCAGTTATAAATAAAATATACCTGGAAATTAATTATTTAATTATACTACTATTAAAATAAACAGTTTTACATTTTATTACTTTTCTTTTACCTCATCCACGAATGAGTTAGCCCATTGGCGCACGTGCGCGCGCGCGTGCGGCGCGCACACACACACACACACACACGCACAAACACACACACACACACACACACACACACACGCACAAACACACACACACACACACACACACACACACACACACACACGCAGAAACACAATGTTTGCCCACAAGTGATCCTGCAGGAAAACAAATATGATGACCGTGTCATTTTAAGTGTTGGCCAAAAACAAATGTTTACTGTGCATCTAATAGTATCAGTTTTGAATTTTTATTATTTTTAATTGTGGACCTAAAATAATTTAATTTCAAACACACTTTCTATCAAGAAAAAAGGAGATCCCTTTGAACAGAAGTATACACATTTTAACCTTCAACAGAATAATTTCAAGTTTATTTCATTTTTTGTTTCACATGGAGCCCATACAGTAAGAATACAGCAGAATTCTGGAGAGCCTTGGATATTTTTCTTCTCTGGCTTATCATTATCATAAATACTAATATGTATACATCATACACAATAAACACAGCACTATCCAAAGGTGTAGAGAGTATCACAAGACATCATTCACCACTGACAACAGAGTATATTTCATTTGAGCATATTTATAAGAGCTACAGAGAGAAGAAAACTGTGTTGGGGGACAAGACAAAAAGTAGAAATAAAGAAGAGAGCGAATCCAAAACACCGGAGATGGACAAGGATTCATTCAGATGTGGTCTGTGGAATCCAAACTACAAATGATGACACAGCTGCAACCATTTCAGACACAACTGGCAGGCCTGTTTAATTCTCATTATTGCCCAGATTGTGCTTTGTGTAGAACTGTACCGGAGATGGATCGAACATGCCATCATGTCACTGCGGAGTCTGCCCAAATAAGTTGAGGGACACTTCAGGATAAGAGGAAGACGATGCATGCAGTAATTTCACTTGCCATTCAAAGGAGAAGCGAGAAAGAAAGATTTGGGATGCAGAACAAACATCTGCCATTTTGTCCCGACTACTTTAAAACGTTTTCGAGGGTGAGATCTTAAACATGTACTCTACCTTATTGTCATTTACTCACACTTGAAGTTAATGTAAGAGGGGGACAGGGGGGCAAGGACTATAGGACTGTCTTACAACTTTCGGAACCGCACAAATAGGACAAAATTCACTGACAAAACCTGCCCGATACCCACAAATAAACACACGCACTTCTAAAACAGACACTCGCCGCCCTGACTAATAATGTTCAAAGCACACAACAGCAGTTTGTAAATGAGCACAGGTACTTGAAGATGCAATCAAGTCACTAATGTCATCTTGACATGTTAAGTTGGAAAAATTTGCACATCCTCTTGACAGGGAAGGGAAAAAAAAACTGAGAAATAAATAAAGTGGGAAACAATCGACTTGAAAGCACCGCTAGCGCTAAATGTTACCCTCTATGCAGCTAATTAGTTGTTATTAATTCTCTTCAAATTGCTCATTATCATTCTCAGGAAAACCAAATTGCCGGTTTGAAGGATGTCCTACGGAAGCGTACTCCTGCCACACTGTGTTAAATGCCACATTTTAACATTAGAATGTTCATCTCACAACCTGATCAATTCCACATTCTAAGTAATTTATACATTAAGTTATGCCCACATAGGACTCGCCATTGACCTGAACCGGAAGAAATTGCTTTGTTTTGTTGCACCAAATGTTGAAGTTGTTATGTTAAACTATGAACCTGATCATATTCAACTGAAATCCATCACGTTACAAGATGAAATTGATCACAATATAAAATTGCAATTAACATACATGGCAATGGCGAGTGATGAAAAAAGCGGAAGGGGCGTGGCCTGGACGGGGGCGTGGCCCGGACGGGGCCTGGTTACTTACAAAAGTGGCACTAAACATGCTGAAGATGAAGTGTATTAAATTTACAGTTTGAAAATTGAACAGAAAAAAATCCCAAGATCGCCACTATTCTTTCAAGTGAAAATTTGTGCAATTTTGCCTATGCATTCCTGGTGAGCACCAAAATGTAACTCCAAATTTGCTGCTCAAAATCAAAACTAAAAAAGTAAACACATTCCCTGCCATATTTAAGATTTGTTCATGACTTGTATTCATAAAGTGTTGTGTAAATGTGATAAAAAGCTGTTGATTTTTACCTCATACAGTGATAGTGAATATTTATTATGCATACAATTTATTATGCCTAACCGTGCTTTATTATCCAAGACAAAACGTGAATTATCAATATGAATATAAAACGCAACTCAAAACAAATAAATGTTATCATGCTGTTGCTACAAATGCATACCAAATAAAATTGAAACTATCATCCTCGTATATTTGAATAAAAAAAGTATATACCTCGGAGTGTACCTGTCTATCGGCGAGGGGCGTCAGTGGAGCAGATTTCGTTGCTTGGTTCAGCCAAAGTAAGTACCCCAGCGTGTAACGTCTTTAGTTGTATCCGCTGACTAAGTTTGTTTGAAAAATGCCGATCCCAAAGAATAATTGCTCCGTCGAATGGCGATTTTGTCGGCATGTTTTTTCACTTTTGTTGCATGATCTGTCAGTGCCACGCATCCACGGGAGCCATAGTT